GCTGTTTCCCTAACACACGTTCGTTTTAATTTCTACACTTATTTTTGTCTCACACTAACAAGGATTGTTGAAAGCACGTTTGCCGTGGTTATGTCAAATTATACTGATCACAAAACATTTATGTACTTTCTTTCGTTTTCCTCTGCCACTCATAAATACCTGTGTCCTCCTGCAGCAATCCCGAGGGACAACGGACATCAATAACAACACAGTAAAAAGTCCTACGTGTTGTAAAAACTGCTATTTTTAGCACATTTAAAGTCTGACGTGTTGCTACCAGACGTACGGTGTGAGCTGAAACTAAGTGCTACAAATGAAAAAGTTGCACAGTGTCCGCAGAATATATAGAAATACAGGCTAAAATGCATTATCTTTTAGAGGCTCCGAGTCCGCTTGCAGAAGTGACATTTACATGTGGATGTTTCCTGGTCAGGTTGCAGCATCGAGAAATATGTTGTGGTAGGCTAAATCCATTTTACAGTATTTACACTGGACTACGTTTTCCGCCTTATGACGTGGAAAAATGGTCTCACACCTTTGACATTTTCTGTCTTTTTCACACTCCACCGGGGTCCACATTGTCTGCCATGTCCGCTTAAAAGAAAGTTAAGTTGCGTTTGCTACTCGCGTGTGCATTCAGTGCAGTGTGTATGTGCGTCACTTATTTCGGTCCGGGTGAAACATGACCACGGGCGATTGCAAAGCCATGAATTAAACGAAGATTCGAGGCAGAGAATTTGACTCAAGGATTTTTTGTACTCAAATTATTCGAGGTACTCGAGGAATCGTCTCAGCCCTAGTAACCAGTGCAGAGACATTAGAATAGGAGTGACATGTGCTGATCTGTTTCCTCCAGTTAGGAGTCTCGCTGCAGAGTTCTGGACCAACTGAAGAACATTTTTTTGTTAAAACATGTGAAAAGTGTGTTACAGTAATCTAGACAGGAGGAGATAAAGGCATGTATAGCCATTTCAAGTTTATTTTTTGACACCAAGCTTCGCAGTTTGGAAATATTTCTTAAGTGATAAAAACAGTTTTGGACCAATGTTTTTGAATGGCCTTCAAGAGACATTGATTGGTCAGAAACAACAACCAAATTCCTCAAGTTTGATTTGATGGCAGAAGATAAATTACCAAGTTGTTGACTAATCAGGGGAACCATGCTTTCAGGGGCAATGCTTAGACATTCTTTTCAAAGTTAAAGTTAACAACGTTATCTTCTAGCCAGCTGGTGATAGCTGAAAGACACTCTAGTAATTCAGACAGTTTATAGAACTCAGAATCCTTAAAGGAGCAGTACAGCTGAATATCATCTGCATGTAGGTGATAATAGGCATTATGAAAAGAATCAGTTATCTGTCCAAGAGGGTGTATGTACAGTAGAAACAACAGTGGACCCAAAACAGAGCCTTGGGGTACCCCACTGAACAGATTGGTAGAATCTGACATGATTTGGTTTAAACAGACACTGAAACTTCTGTAAAAAGGTACAATCTCAACCAGTCTAGAACAGTTCCAGAGATCCCCACCGAGTCACGAAGTCTGTTAATTAAGGTGCTGTGATCAACCTGGTCAAAAGCTGCAGAAAGATCTAACAATTCCAACACTGTAAACTCCCCATTCCCTGCAGCCCTCATGATGTCACTGGAAACTTCAAGCAAAGCTGTTTCTGTTGAATGCTTTTTGCAAAAAGCAGATTGGAAACCAGTCAAACCAGTTGTGTAGTTCCAGAAATGTAATCAGTTGATCTGCCACAACCTTTTCCAATATTTTAAAGATGAAGGGTAATTTAGAAATGGGTCTGTAATTTTTAGGCTGAGAGGAGTCCAGTCTGGGGTTTTTAAGTATAGGTTCAATAATGGCATGTTTGAAAACAGATGGAACAGAGCCAGATTGTAGATATAAATTAATAAAATCCACAATACATGGGCAAATTTGGTCAAACGTCAATGAACAAGGTGGTAGGTAGGGATGGACAATATATCGGCATCAGTATCGGTATCAGCCGATGTTAGTCACTTCTTAACATTCGATAAATGGCGTTCGCTGGCGTTCGATAAATAAAACTGGGCCAATTTTAACAAGGATCTTTCTTGGATGTTAAAACAAAGAGTCGGAGTACCCGGCCCGGAGGGTTACCGGGGTCCCACCCTGGAGCCAGGCCTGGGGTTGGGGCCCGTGAGCGAGCGCCTGGTGGACGAGCTTTCGCCCGTTGGGCCCGGCCGGGCCCAGCCCGAACCGGATACATGGGCTCATCCAACTGTGGACCCACTACCCGCAGGAGGAACATGAAGGGTCCGGTGCAATGTGGATCGGGTGGCAGACCAAGGCGGGAGTCTTGGCGGTCCGATCCCCGGACAAGAAAACTGGTTTTTGGGACATGGAACGTCACCTCGCTGGCAGGGAAAGAGCAGGAGCTTGTGGCAGAGGTTGAGCAGTACCGGCTAGATGTAGTCGGACTCACCTCGATGCATAGCGTTGGCTCTGGAACCCAAGTCCTTGAGAGGGGTTGGACACTCTCCTTTGCTGGAGTTGCTCCGGGTGAGAGGCGGAGGGCTGGGGTTGGCTTTTTGTTAGCCCCAAGATTCTCTGCCTGTGTGTTGGAGTAGCTTCCCTGCGCCTTCGGGTCAGGGAACGGGTTCTGACTGTTGTTTGTGCTTATTGGCCAAATATCAGTTCAGAGTACCCACACTTTCTGGAGTTCCTGGGACGATTTCTAGATAGTGCTCCATCAGGGGACTCCATTTTCCAGCTGGGGGACTTCAATGCTCATGTGGGCAATGACAGCATGACCTGGAGGGGTGTGATTGGGAGGACCCGCCCGCCTGATCGAACTCGAGTGGTGTTTCGTTATTGGACTTCTGTGCAAGCCGCAGTTTGGCCATAACGAACACCATGTTCGAACATAAGGATGCCCATTGGTACACTTGGTACCAGGGCAGCCTAGGTCGCAGGTCGATGATAGACTTTGTAGTCGTATCATCTGACCTGCGGCCGTACGTTTTGGACACCCGAGTGAAGAGAGGAGCGGAGCTGTCAACTGATCACCACCTGGTGGTGAGTTGGATCAGATGGCAGAGGAAGATGCCGCGTAGACCTGGCAGACCCAAACACATAGTGAGGGTCTGCTGGGAACACTTTGCAGAAGAATCTGTTAAGACGGTCTTCAACTCTCACCTCCGGCAGAGCTTTGACCGCGTCCCAAGAGCAGTGGGGGACATTGACTCCCAGTGGGCCTTGTTCCACTCTGCAATTGTTGAGGCGGCTGTTCCTAGCTGTGGTCGCAGGGTGGCCGGTGCCAGTCATGGTGGCAACCCCCGTACCCGCTGGTGGACACCAGAGGTTCGGGGAGCCGTCAGGCTGAAGAAGGAGGCCTACAGGGCGTGGCTGGTCTGTGGGTCTCCGGAGGCAGCAGACAGGTACCGGATAGCCAAGCGGGGTGCAGCAGTGGCAGTTGCCAAGGCAAAATCTCGGGTGTGGGAGGAGTTTGGTGAGGCCATGGAGAAAGACTATCGATCGGCTCCAAAGAGGTTCTGGCAAACTGTCCGGCGCCTCAGGAGAGGAAGCCAGCAACTCGCGCACACTGTTTACAGTGGGGATGGGGAGCTGCTGACGTCAACTGGGGCTATAGTCGGACGGTGGAAGGAATACTTTGAGGAGCTCCTCAATCCCACCTATGCGCATTCCGAGGTGGTACCAGAGCTGGGAGACCTGGGGATGGATTGTCCAATCTCTGGGGCAGAAGTTGCTGAGGTAGTCAAACAACTACACAGCGGCGGAGCCCCGGGGGCGGATGAGGTTTGTCCTGGTTATCTCAAGGCTATGGATGTTGTAGAGCTGTCATGGTTGACACGTCTCTGCAACATTGCGTGGTCATCGGGGGCAGTTCCTGTGGAGTGGCAGACCGGGGTGTTGGTCCCCATCTTTAAGAAGGGTGACCTGAGAGTTTGTTCCAACTATAGGGGGATTACACTCCTCAGCCTCCCTGGAAAGGTCTACTCGGAAAGGAGCTCGGACATTTGGGAGGGACTCGGAGTAGAACCGCTGCTCCTCCGGATCTAAAGGAGCCAGTTGAGGTGGTTTGGGCATCTGGTCAGGATGCCTCCTGGACGCCTCCCTGGGGAGGTGTTTCGGGCATGTCCTGCCGGCAGGAGGCCCCCGGGTCGACCCAGGACACGTTGGAGAGGTTACATCTCCAATCTGGTCCGGGAACGCATTGGGGTCCTGCCGGAGGAGCTGGTGGAGAAGGCCGGGGAGAGGACTGTCTGCAGCTCCCTAGTTGGGATGCTGCGACCCGGACCCGGATAAGCGGAGGAAGACGACGACGATGACAATTTTAACAACCGATATTTTTTCCATCTCATCTCCATTTGTTTGCCTGTTTCAGAGGGTGAGGGGGGTGATGTGTATTTGTTTAGTCATGTGAACAGTGAATGAAATCATCTCAGAACCGTAAATTTGTGTGTTGTGTGTCCATAATAACATAAATTCAGCTTTAATAATTTTCATTCTATACAAAATCTGATTTTAGAAGCATTAATGTCAGTATATCGGTATCTGCAAATGTCGGTTATCGGCCATAACAGTGATCTTAATATCGGTATTGGCCCCAAAATTTTCTAATCGGTGCATCACTAGTAGTAGGAATAATAACAAGGGAACATGAGGTTGGTTTCATGTGTTTCTGAATGAGGCAGGTGTCCTGGAAACTTACAGGAAAAGAAACATGACTGGGAGGAAAGTGGTTGGATTGGAGAGTAGGAAGTGGATGGGGTGAAAAACAAGAGGTTTTTGGAGAAATTTTACCCTCTATAAGTGGTCCCTGGCCCCCAAATTTTTGAAAAACCTTGGTTTAGAAGATGAGTGAGTGAGAAATGCCATGGTGTTTGTAAATTTTATTGTCACAAAATTAGTTTTACAAACTAGACCAGAGAATTAAATGTTCGTTTAGATTTTGACTAATTCTTTGACCTTTTATTCTTTTTTTTCCATCTGTTTAGCTCTCTACTCCATTATACTGTTCTGTGTCTTCCTATGGATTCCCTTTGTTTACTTCTACTATGAAGAAAAGGATGACAACAACACAAACAGGTGCTTGGTAAGGAAACCTCTCTTTACCTATGCATGAGCCAATATAGCTCATTTAAATGTGGTTGTGAGAATGTTTTTTTTCCTCCACATCATGTATCTACATCTGATTACCGTGCAAAAAATAATAAAATCCAAAGTAATTCAGTTGGTAACTTCCAGCAGCATTAGTCACTTTAAATGCAGTTTCACTTGAACAAGGCTTATCCTTCGGAAGCTTCACATTGGGATTATTCTAATGCAGATTGTATTAAAGTGCTTTGAAAGCATATTGCCTTTCTTTTCAGACATCTTGAATTAATTAACTGTTAGCTTTGTTTGCATACTAATGTTGAATGATGGAAAATGTTATCATTTGCGTGAGTCTTCCTTTTTGTCCCCATGCATGGTACGGCACAAGTATTCCAAATACCTTTTATCCATCTGTTTTCAGCTTTTGGTTTAGTAAATAGCACCCTCTTACCTTTGTCATAAATATAGGAGTAAATAGATTTTTCCCATTACTCACTTTGTTTGCTTCCCCTTATGGCGTTTGTAATTGCAGAGCTAGTTTTGTTTAGTTTTGTTCTGAATCAGCAGGTACTCGCTTGAAAATCTTTTCTCCGAAATCAAAGATACCACACAGACTTTCTGACCACTTACAGTGCAGTGAAGCGGTATTTATTTATTCTTATTCTGCAATTATGCACTTGGAAAACTTGCATTCACAAAGTAATTATGAGAGGAAAGGAAAAAACCATGTGTAAAGTACAGCAGAGACCATGAACTGTAAGCAATCCAAGGAGAATTCTGAGACTTTCTGTTTATTTGCTAGGAAAAACAGTCAGGATATTTTAACATTCTTAATATAAACAATACACCCCCAAGCATGTCTGATGTAGCAACTGAATCAAAACAAATGAACATCCATCCATCCATCCGTCCGTCCGTCCATCCATCCATCCATCCATCCATCCATCCATCCATCCATCCATTGTCTGAACCCACTTCGTCCACATAGGGTCACGGGGCCTATCTCCAGCGGTCAGTGGGCAATCAGGTGGGGTACACCCTGGACAGAGAGCCAGTCCATCGCAGACAAATGAATATATTGAATTCATTTATAATAGTAATAATCACACTGTTCTGGCTTTGTGCTTCTGCACTCAAACTCCGAATCAAAGGCTCTCTATTGTTGTGTCAGTTGTCTTCAGAAATTATCCTCATGACTCATGGTATGACTTGGTAATTAGTGAGTATGAACTCAAAGTCATAGCAACGAGCCTTTCTCCTTGCCATGTGTCAGTTTTGAGCTGACAGAGGCACTTTCTCCTACAGAAAGCAGGGTCTTTTGTATTGTCACTTAAAAAGACCCTTGAATAGTGCCAGATGTGGTGTGTTATTTCTGTAAAGTCAAACTGGATCTACACTTTCTCTGTGTTGTGCTCATTTACTACAGCGCTTATCTAAATGGATTATAAACCGTTTAACTCTCACACAATGAATTATAATATTTCACTTTATATCCACGATTGACCAGTTATATATTTTTTTTATTGTAGCAGGTGAAAAACGCTCTGAAGTACACCGTTGGATTTGTCATTGTCTGCGTGGTGCTCCTTTTAATTGGGTGAGTAGGAAACACGGATTGCTTCTTCTGCTTCAGTACAAGACAGGTAAAGAGGGCATGTTGTATCATAGTGTCATTAATGGAAAAGAAATTTGTTTCACACAGCTACAGAAACATTTGTGTGGCTGAGATAAACCATCCAGGGAAATAAAAACATGTTCCTCCCATGTTTATTTTTGTTTCTCTGAGTCTTAATTCAGAGATATCAAATCATTTTTGAGGTGGAACTGAGTGCGAAGCTGTGAGGGTTGGAGTCCGCCATTGTTCCCAGCTACAAGCTAACTGAGCTAACCAAAGTTAATGGAAGTTTTTGGGTGTTTTTTGCCTGGAAAATGCAGTTGAATGACTTAACCTGAAGCACGCATCAACTCACCGAACTGCAGAGTTTCTGTGTTGTTCTTCAGAAAGTTCCACAAGCGACAAGCACATCCTCTGACATAGGGGTAGGTGATATGGAGAAAAAAACACGTCACGATTTTGTTTTTGCAAAATCACAGTCACAATTTCATCACGATTTTTTCTATTTTGACAATGAAAATGTTTTGGAAGTTATTTACCAGTAAAATACATCAATGTAAAATACCCCTTCACAGAAAATAGAATAAAATATCAAAATCCTTAAAAAAAAAAATTCTTAAAATTCCATTCTCTCTCTCTCTCTCTCTCTCTCTCTCTCTCTCTCTCTCTCTCTCTCTCTCTCTCTCTCTCTCTCTCTCTCTCTCTCTCTCTCTCTCTCTCTCTCTCTCTCTCTCTCTCTCTCTCTCTCTCTCTCTCTCTCTCTCTCTCTCTCTCTCTCTCTCTCTTCCCCCCCCCCTCCCTCTCCCTCCATACAGTTGCAAGTTAGAAATACATGTCTCAGATGTCCCACAGGCACATTCATTTAATTATATGATTATAATGCATGTAAAATAGTTTTATTCTATCTAGAGATGGCTCATATCTTATCATCCACAATATTACCAATAATTATTTCTTGTCCAGAGAAAAAATCCAGCATATTAAGTTAAATCCATTACGCATCCTCATCTCATGCATTCTCTAGTCAATATTACACTCTGCACTCACTATTTGTCCCTCACTTCTCTCCGTAGCTGTTTCCTGATTACGTGCGGGAGGGGTTATGCATAAACAAAGCTCCAGTCGGGAGCCACAGTGACAAGTCTCGCTAAAACACACACAGACATCTCCAAATAATAAAAGCCACAAAGCTAAATGCAAAATTTTGAGCACTATATTGATCCAGAGGTTCCGTGATTGAACTGACGCGTGAGAATACACTTAATGATCGCTTAGAGACGGAGCAAGCTAGTGGCTAATGCTAGCCACTATAATTGAGTATAGTGTGCTTCTTCAAAGATTCATAATCGTTTTTGTTTGCATCCCGATGCATCGATTGTTAGATTATTTTCCTCTGCTCTACCGAGCACCCCAGCTATACAAACCAACACACTGCCTTAAACTTGCTCTCGGTGTGTCTGTCGTGCAGACAGATGCAGAGTAGCAAATAGTGTGACTCAGCTGAAAAAAAAATTTGCTGGTAGACACATCCAGAAACAGTGGTACGGGTGATAGAATGCTAATAGATGGTTCTACGATCTCCGAACTTTGGTAGATCGTCATCACTTTATTATCCTTAACAATCTTATATCATCAGATTGCATGGCATATCTGATATCCATAGCATTCACAGCTGGACGCCCAGTTGGAAGTCGGAGGTACCCTGCCTGCAGTGAGGTGGCGGAGCCAGGCCACATGAGCCCATGCTCTGCTCTTCCAAAGAGGTCGGATATCAGTGCCACTGTGTGGTACCCGGCCCTAGCAACACATTATATTTCAACTCACTTTAACAAAACAGATTGTTATGTTAAATGCACAGATTTACCCCATTCTACTAGCAAAAGAAAGTACAGGAATGTAATTTCACTTACTGATTAAAAAAAAGCAGATACTTATTAGATGATCTGTTTTTTTTACAATCAGTTCTACAGCTTGCCATGTTTGTCCAAAAATCCCATAATTAACATTAGAACACGAACACACATAAGACACAGCTTAAGTTCAGAAAATCTAAATGGCCAAACATCTATTAATGTGAGGCTGAACCCTTTCCCGGAGCTAGCTGCTAGCACTTGCTCAGACAGTTCATGCTACCTGTCAATCAAACTTAATTATTCATAATTTCATGCATTTAATTACAAGAGTTAAAAAAAATTGCTTCTCTCAGAGTTGTCATGACCATAGGGAGCCTAAGTCTCCTCCCTTTCTGGTCGGCTCATGGGTCCCCGGAAAAACGAAAATACGAATACAAATCAACGGGGCTAAACATGCTTTTTTCTAACTCCCTTTGCCATATGCCCTGGATCACACATATTTTGTACTGCAATTTAAATGAAAAGTAATGATGGGTGTTTCGACCACGCCTGTTACATACTTAGAGATTTATCAGCTTGTAAAAGTCCGTAATTAGCATGACTACACACCAGAAATTGGCACGTTGCATATGTGACGCCACCACGGAATCTCCTCTCCCCTAATGTAGCTGCGACTTACCAAATGACCAGATTTATGGTGGCTCCTTTGGGAAGTTTGCTGAAGTTACAGCCATTTCCCCTCAGTTTTCTCTGTGTCTGGTTTGATGATGTCACTTTCGTGGTGTGCATTTGTAGTCCTGGACCTATTTTCACACAAAACCTAAAATAATGTTTCCCGCTGTTCGAAAATAAGCGCATTCTTGGTATCAAAATGTGTTTTCAAAATGCATGGCCATCATATGTGAAATCCATGGCACAAAACCAATGGAATTAGAAAATAGCGTTTTCAGCCCCATTGACTTGCGTTAATTTTTTCGCTATTCCAGCGACCCGTGGTCTGGAAGTAGATGGGCGGAAATTAGGCTCCCTATAGACTAGAACTTATAAACCTAAAATTGTATTTTGAACCAGTCTTTAAACATGTTTATTCCTGCTGTGAAGTTGGCATTTTTCACATATAAGTCTATGGTAACTTGCTCCTTTCTGGTGCCAGCCCCTAGTGGATGAGGAAGGAACTGCAAATTTAGTGATTTCCCAGTTGGCTTTGCTTTAGGCAGGCAGAGTTTGCCCCTTGGTTGAAACCAATAAGTCCAATAGACACAGATCCTTGGATTTAGATATGATTTATTTAAATAGGAACGTGACTCATATTTTCAATACATTTGCGGTGGTCTCTAGTAGGAATGGATGCCTTGTAAGTCTTACTCTGGGGAAAAAAGCTCCGGAACACCTGTTTTAGCACAGAGAATTCAGCAGGAGAAAGTAGCTTTACATGACAAGATTTGAAGTCTTATTTTCTGATATTTGGACATTTCACCTCTGATTTGCTAACAGCAACGCGACTCTACTACTGACTCCCTTTACTTTTCAACATTGATGTTGATGATCTCCACCAATAATACAAGCCTGGAGGAGTTCTGTTGTGTGGTGAAGATGCTAATGCTAATGGTTATCTTCTACTAGTCTTTTAAGTGACAGTGTGACATAGATCTGCCAGGCTTTTCAAATCCTAGAACTTCACTATTTTCTATCAGAAGCTAACACAGGAGATAGGTGTAGAAGATTATTTTTATTCTCAGCCTGCGTGAAAAACTCAGACTGACTGATGATTTAAAAAATGGTTTAAAATGAAGCTACTTCTTAACTGCAGATTTTGCTTTGGTTAAAGGTTCGTAGCACTAGGGAGATTTTCACTACAGCTGTGATATCAACACACCTGAAGGTCCAGCTTGTACATTTGAGTGTGCTCCTTCAACCATTAAATGGGGCTTTGAAAGAAAGCTTATCTGGTTTGGGAAAGAAGGAAGACAAGGCCATAATGCTTTACACCGTAAAGTTTAGAGGACATGTTTATAGACAAGCCTCTACAGTGGCTCTTTTACCCCATGAACTGTGACCACTTTGTTCTATCAGTTGTTTGTTTGATCCTTTAAATTTTGACAGTGATGCTTTTTCTCTGATTCCAGGAAACATAATTGACTTTGTTTTCTTGTCTGCTCAGTCTGCCAGTATTTACTTAAAGCTACAAAGCTCAACACCCTCACAAACCAATCACTGTCTCTATCTATGCGTTGCTGTTTAAGATTCAGACCACACAAAAATCTTTGTTACACGCTTCAGGGTTTGTGTGTAATACTTGTGAGTGAAAACAGAAGTATAAGATCAGAATTTCTGGGTTTCTAAACAAATATGTACATGTGTGTGTCAAGAATATTATTTTAATCAGTGTGTTTCCAATAATTGATTGACAGTGTTTGGGTATAGGGAGCCTAAGTCATGCTCATCTGCTTCCGGACCCTTGGGTTCCCGGAAGAACAAAAAAAGTCAATGGGGTTAAAAACGCTATTTTCTAATTCTGCTTCTTATGTGCCATGGATTTCACATATGGTGATCGTGAATTTTAAGGACATATTTTGATACCAGTAAAGTGCTTATTTTCGAATCAGGGAAACTTAATTTTAGGTTTTGTGTGAAAATAAGTCCAGGACTACAAATGCGCATCACCCAAGGGACGCCATTGAACCAGACACCGAGAAAAACAGAGGGAACATTACCAAGTTCAGCAAACTTCAAATCCTTCTTTCAGGAGGAAAGAACCACCATAAATCTGGCCATGTGGTAAGTAGCAGCTACGCTAAAGGAGAGGAGATTCTGTGGTGACGTCATATATGTGACGTACCGATGTCCGATTTGTAGTCATGCTAATTAGGAACTTTTACAAGCTGATAAATCTCAAAGTACGTGACTGGCGTGTTCCAAACATCCATCATCACCTTTCATTTAAATATAAGTACAACATTTGTGTGATCAGGGCGTAAGGCAAACAGATTAGGAAAATAACTCTTTTAGCCCCGTTGACTTGCATTAATTTATTTTTGTTTTTCTGGGGACCCATGAGCCGACCGGAAAGGGAGGAGACTTAGGCTCCCTATACGAATTTCATGGTTTTTAAATGCCATCAAACATGTAAAAAAAATCAGTCTCAACTATTAAAGTGCCACAAGTTAGTAAAGAAAAGCAGGCATGAGCAGTGGAGCACACAGCTTCCTACTTATCCCACTGAGAAGCGGTGCTGAATTTGGCTCCTATGCGCTCACAGCAGTCACACCGGCTTTCCACTGGATGTGAAAGCTGTCACAAAATCACAGGAGAATTGCAACACCATGCGTGATTTTAGAAGTTATAAGAAAGGAAAAGGACTGCTGCATGTATCCAAAAAGTTTGTGGTTTATTTTCTGTACTGTTTACTTCGGCTACGGGGGTTTTAACAGGAAATGCCATACATTTAATTGCACGTGACTTTTATTATGAAAGTTTCCAGATGTTTACACTGCTTTTGTGTTTGAATTCCTATCAGGCCCGATCTAAACTGTGGAGTTTGATGTGTTTTGGAAGCATAGCGTGTAAAAAATAGACTCGAAATGTAATGATAGCATCCCTTTGCTTCTGGGATGCATCCAAAAGGTTAGACTTTGCTGCAGATGGAAAAGGAACCTGTCCTCTGTAATGGTGGCTATTTGCAGCTTGGCACCTTTTTCTGGTGTTTTGCAACGCATTTTAATTTGGTGGAAAGAAGGCGTCGGTCCTTGCGCTCCCGCAGCTGGAGTGGCCGGTTTGAGCTGTAGTCAGAGAAGATGTTTACCCCACTGTATCCATATTGCTAATGAATCGCTCATGCGGGAAGCTGCCGCTGGCTGATTCTACCCGCACCAATCAGAGGCGCCCAATAATAGGTAGGCATGAGAGTGACATAATTTCAGCCGGCCAGTCACTCCATAGGTGGGTGTGTGTAGTCAGCTTGTCATAGAACAGATTACAGAGGCGCAGTGCCGAAAACAATGGTCAGCTCTGCATGAATGATGCACGGACAACACCAGTGTAGACACAATAACCCCACCCAGCCCAGGCTGAACTGACTCGAGTGTAAAGGGCCTATAATGCTCTTTACATTCATAAGCAGGCCTGTTTTATCATCTTTTTTAATTGTTGATGCTTACATCCTTTGTGCATTTTAGAGCTTTAACAAACTGTAGTTTAAACTAGAATTGTCAGAGTTAACGCGTTATTGCGTTAACGCATTAACGCCAGAAAATATTTTATCACATCAATTTTTTTTCATTATTTTAAAAGTCTGTTACTAATTCTGAACGTTTCATGAACTCGTCGTAAACATTTACTCTTTGCACACACTAAACACCAATCGCTCCAACATGATACAAAAGAGAGGGAATTATAAATTCATGAGTGAAAAAGAAGCCATGTCTGCTCTGTGAATGAGTGGAAAAGCAAAAGTAAACTGCACGCAACTCTCTCTTCCTTTACTTTGAAACTCATACGACTAATCGTGATTAAACTAGTGCTGACAAATAATTTTAAACATCTGTTAAAGAAAAGAAAAATGTTGGGCTAGCATTAGCTAGCTTACACTTTAAACACTAAGGTATGGACTTTATCCAAATAAACTTCCACATTTGCCCATGCACTACAGCGATGTTCAGAAGGCCTAGAAGGAACCAAATTATTTATTCCATCCATCCATTTTCAGCCGTTTATCTGGAGTCAGGTCGCGGGGAGCAGCCTAAGACAAGAGACCCAGACTCACCCCAGCTACTTGGGTCAGCTCCTCCAGGGAAATCCCAAGGCATTCCCTGGCCAGCCAAGAGACATCTCCCTCCAGCGTGTCCTGGGTCTTCCCTTAGTCCTCCTCCTAGTTGGACGTGCCCGGAAAATGTATTTATTCTTTCAATTTATTTATTTATTTTTGTATCCCTTTCAGAACATTCATTCCTATTCAGGCCCCACCCAATCAAAATTCAACCCAGTGGCAGAAGATGCAATACCTGTTTGAAGAGCTTGGCAGCAGTCGTAAGTATAACTTTCTTTATTAGCGTCAAATTAGAAAATCTAGTCCAGGGTTGCCCAATCCTGGTCCTGGAAGGCCGGTATCCAGTCGGTTTTAGTGATTTCTGTGCTCCAGCCTATTAGATTCAGTGGCTGATTTACCTGTGCTGCAGCTCATCAGGCTCTGCAGAAGCCCGCTAATCACCTGCTGATTGAAAGCAGGTGTGTTGAAGCAGGGTTAAAACTTAAACCTGCTGGATACCGGCCCTCTAGGACCAGGATTGGGCACCTCTGATATTGCAGGCCTCTCTGACACAACTTATCATATTTGAATTTCTTTAGATTTCATCTGCAGTGAGTTTGTTGATGGTGCATCTTCTTTTTTCTGAGCTAACTGGCTAAGTTTGCACAAGCGTAATAGCGAGTCAGTTATGTAATAATTGTCAAATATTGGCAGGTTACAGGGGGTATTTCTAAATAGAGGTTTTTCTAGTTTGAAATGTTACATAAAAATGCTGAAATGGTCAAATTAGAGGAATTTAGCTGATGCATGTGTAGTTCTTTCAAAAGCATGTGTAGTTTTTTTCTGCAAACATTTAAAATTATACATAATGGAGCCCTTCTTCAGGCATCTTCTTATTTATTGAAACAATACAAGTAATTATGCTCCTTCCAATGCCGGAACATGGCCAAAAGTGGACCCCTCACAGTTCTTAGGCCCTTTGCCATCAAGGGACCTAGGAGGAAGTTGAACCATCTGCCTCTCTGCTTAATAGTGGACCCCTAAATGCTTTCCCTAACCTCCCTCTTTTGGCACGGGGGGAATTACTCTGCTGCTGAGGAAATGTGAGGATCATCCCATTTTTATATTCTTCTTCCCCTTCTGTCTCCATATGGGAGGTTAATTGTGTGAGGAAAAGGCACGTTTACCACAAAACAGTCCTGACCATTTTGCAACAACTGTTGATTAAGGCCACTACATATTTAATGGTCTAAACATTAGCCCCTTTTTTTCCTGAATATACAACAGACCAGACCTCGAGCTTTTAAATTTGTTGTCCAAGTCCTTAAAGTACAGTTTGTGTTTTTGGCCATGTCTCATGGGGCAAGAACAGTCAACAGTAGTCCAGCATAAATGACTGCGTAGAAAAATGGAGCAGATTCATAATGTTTGCTTTCCCCGGTTTCTGTAAATGCATTGAGTATAAAGGAAACAGTTGACTATACTTGTGCATACATGTGATTAGGCTTTGGGAGCATTAGCATGAGCAAATGAAAATATTGAAAGCTATTTGACACATCAACCTTTAGATATTTATTGATATATTATGGCGCCATTTAAAATTGTGAAAAATAAGACCATTAAAGGGAATCTAGTGTAGCAATTAATACATATTAATTATGACCAATAAGATGTGATTATTCCATATAAATATGAAATATTGATCTGATTGATCTTTGAATGTTTAATCAGAAGATTGTCGATGGTCACTGCCGGTGGAGTTTAAAACAGCATGTACCTTGCTGGTGTTGAATATAGTAAGGTTGATGTATCAAACGTTGCTTACCAAAAAGTCTGTCCCGTCTCTGACGTGCTTTCCTGTTCAAAAGAATGTCCATGGAGAAGGGTTTGGTCTGAGAAAATGTCCAACAATGCATCTTAGACGTAGACATACCCCCTTAAATCTGCATGTCCCAACTCACTTTAATGTTTGCAATACATAAATGTTGTTGGTGGTAATGCTAACAGAACAACTTTAGCCCGAGCCATTGCCAACATCTCTGTTGGAAAAGAGGAAAACCACAAAGAAAAATGCCAGAACATATTTGTAACTTTAAAGGATGCGCTGGGAAAATCCAGATTTTGAGAGAATACCAGATAGATCCAAAGGTTACCTGTATACATGTATGGATCTGTCAAGGTAAACTAGCCAATCAGCATGCAGCTCATTCTATACTCATGTGCTGGCTGAGTGGGCAGGGGAAAACCAGTCTTTCTGTTGTAGTGTTTCACTATGGGGTTGTTTTTGTCATTGTTCAGGGCTCCTTGGTTATTTTGAGCCCCACCAAAGTTTCACATACTTTATAAAGGCTCAAAGAACAATTTCCAATTATAAAAAAAAGTTCTAGAACCCTTTTTAAAGTAGATAATTTTTTCTGATAATTTCACACATTTAAAATGAAATGAAAATCAAATACTGTACAACCCAGAGTAGTCATGCATTATGACCTATCAGAGTAACTCTGATGCTCTTGATACAGTGTCATGTTCCAGATTCCAGTCTGGTTGGAGATGATGTATCTGATGCATATCTGACGCTTCAGCCTACAATTGAAAACCCTCGGGGTTCAGATGTGCACCCTACCCTGCAAAGCCCTGTCTGTTATTTCTAGTTTGCTTCTTGGACCTGGTGTGATGCTTTTCTTCCCCAGTGGCCAAATCCCGCAGAGTTTAGGGCAAAGTGCAAGAGGCTAAATGTTCTTTAGAGTAATTTCCCTCACAAGCATTACCTTATCTGTTTTGTTCTTTCTGGTACGTCCAAGTATTCTGACTTTAGCCCAGGCACCTCCCCTTAAATGAGCTAGTGATGCATTGCTCCCACAAATTCACAGTTCTGTACAAGAGAGAGTAATATAGGTTTTTCTTTTCTTTGGAGTTTTATGGTATTTAAATGTACAACACCAGCATGACTGTTGCTCTAGAAAAGCAGTTGTGATGTCATCATTCTGTGTAGGTGGCACCTTTTCCCAATAGTTTCATTTGCTGCTGTAATGCAGAGTCATCCATATGCTAAATCTCTTCTCCAACTTCATAAAGTGCCACATGCAGTATGTTATATAATGTTTGTGTCCCAAGATGCAGCTTCTCTCTGGTTGCTTTTGAGGATTCTGTCATCCCCGTTGTAGGGTGCCAAAGCTAAAGGAGCTTTGCAAAGAACACCTTTCTGCATAAGGCTTGTACGTTAACTCATGCCTGAAGGGCTATGTGCAGAGTGAGATAAGAGCTACCTCATTCCTTTGGTTTTTGAATCGACACTTTGCAGATGTGGAAGCACCACTGATGGTATACAATATTTTCTGTGTTTAATCCCCGGAAAATGTGCTCAAGACACGAAGAAGACTGGCAGCAAACATCTATCGTTTGCTTTGTGTCGAGTCCACGAACAGAATGTTCTCTTTGCAGAACATAAAGCTATTGTCTGTGTTGCCAAGCTCACTTCAAAACAAAGGCAGTTAAATCACAATGAAATGCTCAGGATAGGACACAGGTATTCAGATGGTAATGTTAAGTCTGGTCATCAGACCCCAGAGTTGATTTTCTGCACAAAACACACATGAAACCTCAGTTTTCTACATCTTTGTCTTTCCTCGTGTGAGCTGATTTCAACAGAAAGTGATTAATGACACGAACAGTGCAAATTATGCATGCCCTGAATCCTGACTTAATATTCCACGTGAAATGTCTGTCAAGGAGAAAGACAAGGAGAGACCCACCTGTGACCAGGCTGACAGGTGGTCTGGGCTTTATGAAGCCACCGTTGAGAGGATGTGGGATATTTATAAAAGGACAAATGCGTTGCTTTTTTACTCAGAAAGCTGTGACAGGTGGGCTCTTGACAGGGGAGTGAGGCAATCAGTTCTTTCATCAATCCCTGTCTTCTAACTTTATCTCTGGCAGCTGGCGTGACACCGACCGTTGTGTTAGCCTGATAGGTGGTCCTCTTTCAGCCTCAGAGCACACACACTCACCCTACCAATGATAAAAGCTGTCTCAATATTTTATTGTCTGAAATATAAAATCTAAGAGTACCTAATCACAAACATAATGTGTCCTCATTTGAAGGAAAAGTAAACATGTTCTCCTTTTATTTTCCAACAAATTAACATCCAGAATTAGTGCCTGCTTGCAGTTGTTAATGAGCTGTTTATAGGCATCAGGTGCGTAGCCCATTAGTCATTCGTTAAACTCCATGTTAGCTTTGAGAGATTGGAGGGATAATTTCACTGATCATTAAAGTTATTTACTCCAGGTTACCACAGCAACCTGAAATTGCAGCTCTAAACATGTGTGAGACTACAGGCCATTACAATTTGACTAAAGTGATCATGACTAAAGCTTTTTGGCTTTTTATAATTCTCAATTCTCTATTTAGAATATCTCTCCTCACATTAGTTTGTTGATTGTTCTTTCTGTTGTCAATGCTGTGATAACAGTTGTTCTATGTGAATTACAGTATTTTGTGTCTCATAGATAAAACAGATATACCGGTATTGCAAACTCATAATTTACATTTAAATAATTTGTTATTGTATTTGTGAAGCGCCTCATGTGTTTTATCTTGAGTCACTCTATAAAAGATTGTTTTCCTCCTTTGACCTCCTAGGGCTCTGTGTCCACATATGTGGACATCGGCGCCTTGCGCTTTTAAAATGTTATCATCTTCCCCTCAGACCTTTTTGTTATTATTTATAGGCACCTGATATTGACTTAAAAGATGTTGTTTTCTTTATTTTTTATAGGAAATTTGACACATTTGTAATTTTAATTCAATTTTCCTTTTATTTTAATATCTGCAGTTTTGTTTCCGTTAATGAGAGTAGACTACTCTGTAATAGATGTGTTTTTTTCTTTTAAAGGGACTTTTTGGACTTTTGAATTTTTATGCTCGCGATTGCCCCCTCAGGCCAAAAGTGTAACAGCAGCTTCAATAGGAGGCTCGTGCACGAGGCGCGCATGCTGTACGTGCACACTCCTTAACAAAAATAACAGTTGAGACAGTCCCGTGTGTGTGTGTGGCCCGGAGGACAGAAGAACACAGGAAATTATTAAAAATAATGTGCCCCTGTCTCTGCAGCTGCACTTTCTCTTCGGCCGGCCGAACATGCAGTGTGTGTGTGTGTGTGTGTGTGTGTGTGTGTGTGTGTGTGTGGCCCAGAGGACAGGAGAACACGCAGCTAATTAATTAAGTAATTTGGTTCTGTGCCTTTCTCTTCAGCACAGCTGACAAAGGTTTAAGTTGGGTCAGTCCTCCTGCATGCTCAGATCATTCCCTTCCCTTGCTTGAAAAATTGTTCCAAAATGAAAGTTGAACCCACGTCTTTTATATCCGTGAATTCAATTGGGCGTCTTATTACTGTAAAAAAATATATACCAAAAAAGAAACTCCAAATAACCTATGTTCACACCCACAATCAAACCCAGGTCTTCTGCATGAGAGTCAGACATTTTACTAGGTGATCTAAAGAGCTACTGACATTCATTGTATCTGTAACGTTTATATCCTTAATGACAGCTGAAACAACGTTCAAAGAACGGCTCAGAGCGAAAATGGCTATTTTGTTGCTAATTTGCAGGAAATATCTAGAAGAAAGTAGCTAAGGGTCCTCAGAAATGTAGCTAGGTTCATCACTAGGCGTTAGGAACAGCGACAAAGTCGCTGAGTTGGCACTACCTCTCTCTCTGCTGCTAAAGCTACGGATAGCAAATGCTACGGGCTATGCCTGAGCGTGAATGTGCATGAAGCAGCCTGCTCGACCCGAGCATCTCTCTTTTTCTGTGATTTTACAGAAAAACAGGCAATCACAGTAAAGATGCCAGGGCTCATTCTACAGGACCAGGGCATTGCAGGAGAATGTATGAAGAAGAAATTTATTATTTCTATACATGTTTTGGCTGTCAAACTTCCTTAAAGTGCCTTTAAATCACATCTCTGGCAGGTCTTAGGAGGTCCAGTACTGATATAAACTGATACCAATATACGCATGGTCCCCCCTCATAAAATAAAGAAAAAGAACAGTTTAGGTTACTAACATCACATATCTCTTATCATCCATTCTTAAAGAGCAAGTCACCCCCAAATAAACTTTTTTTTTTGCTGATAAACTAAATAAACGAGTGTCTAATCGTGCTGCAGACAGTGTAGTTCAGTGAATCGTAGTTAAAATTTAAATATTCTGCCTAAAACTGTCAGTGTTGTGCCGTTGTCAGGTAAAAACTCTGCACTGTATTTTAATTTAAATCTGCCACCGCTATTGGCTAAGAGGTATGCTATGATGTAAACTGGTACATTATGATGTCACAATGCTGTCGTGAGCCTGTGTGTGTATTTGTTAGCGGCTCCGCCTTCTCGGTCTGCCAGCCAACAGCATTTGTTGCATTTTTCAAACATGAAGTGAGAGTGGAGTTAGACTCTGGTAGGGGTTGACTTGCTCTTTAAATTTTAAAAATTTTCAGTGAAAATTACAGCTACTTCCGTTTAAGTTAATAAAAGGAAAAGGCCCATATTTATTTTGTCTCCAAAAGCAGCAGATTCTCCTTCTCCCTAAGCACAAAGCTAAGATGTTTGTGTTAGTTAATGTATTTTTTCACTTTCTGTTTATAGCAGTTATGGTGATGAAACATGTATAAAGTTCTTAAGTTAAGAAAAGCAAACCTGGGTTCTACAATAAGCAAATTTCTACTTCACAAGTTGTGCCAAAAAACCCTCAAATATCTCAAAAACTAGACCTCAGACCTGTCATATTTTGACATTTCGAGGGAGAGGAGAAGTAGCTGAAGAGTTTGATGTATAATATGTGTATGCAATGTAAATATGTTATCAAAAGACTGAAAACTGATGCCGATATTTTCCGGTATTACATTTTCCTGCTGATATTGGCCGGTATGTGGTAGACTGATAATATCAAACATCCCTAAATTAAACAGTTTATTTTAATTATGAGCTGTTCATTGAGATGATTGCCATAGTTCTATAAAACTTAGAAGTTGTGAAGGTCTTTTTGCATCTCAGTTTCTGAATGCTGCAACCATTACAGATGATTGTGTTTACCATCAAAAATAAAGAGAAGTTGATTGAAATATGCTCAGATTGCAATTCAAAGTAGGCTCCTGATGTCTTCATATTTAGCACAAATACTGATACTTTTTTTGAAAGTTTAGGTGAAACCGCTAACCTTTTTTCCTTTCATTTCTATTACAGACGGTCTGCCAGCTTTATCTTTCTCCATCAGCTCCTTGACCCTAATTGGCATGTTAGCAGTCATCACGTACACGGTGAGTTGGATCCAACTAGCAGTTTGTTTTATCGTTGAAGTCACGTGTGTGTGTGTGTGTGGGTGGGTGGGGGTGTGGGTGGGGGTGTGGGTGTGGGTGTGTGTGTGGGGCCATTACAGCAAACCACTGGGAGCCACTGGACATCGTTGGTAGCTTAAAAAATCTTTGTGGCAAAAGAAATCTTGACGATACATTTTTTTCAAAGTATGATTTAATAATTGTCTTATAGTTGATCATGCCATTTTTGTAATATGTGCACTAAACATGAGTACGTATAAATATTTTCCATCTTTGTAGTGATGTATCTAGAGAGGGACTGATGGTTGGTAACAGCAGCTCTTTGTGATTTTATATCTCTGACAATCAATTGCTCAAATTGCCCAGACTGCTGTCGTTTTACTTGAGCACTTGAGGCTTTTGGTGATGTATGGGTTCTCCTCACAGGCTTATCAGCCACTTATCTGCTGTATATATATATATATATATATATATATATGAAGAGAGATCTACTTTGGTGTCCATTAATACATGTCTGTATTTTGATCCCCTTAGAATTCTGCAGGTTTTTAAACTTCCCCGATCAAAATAAAATTGACTAGTTAATGGTGTCCATTTTTCATGGCTGTTATCTTCGTAACTAGACTGTGAATATTCCCTGAAGCTGGTGGTGCTGGTGTCAGAGGTGCATAGTGCATAATGGTGCCTACTGCAGAAAGATACCAAATAAAGGGAGGCGAAAGAAAACAATCTAAGAGCTCAGAGCTGCGAACGAGAGCAAAAGTGACAGCCAACCTCAATCTATCCTGTTTTTGTTGAGCTGAAAGAGTTTCATTTGACAAATTACACGTGAAGTGGACATGGAGCTCTTAATGAATAATACACAAACAAGTCAAGTAAATTGTAGAACCAATCTCCATTTAGGACATACAATCCCTCTCAGCAGGAGGTTTATCCAATGTTTTGGCATGCCCCTCAGTGTTCTCAGTATAGTGGATAATTACCTAGTTCAATTGGATGGCGGTACTGTGCTCAGATTTGCTCTGACCGGCGTTGCTATGGACTCTGTGGAAATCAAAACTCCCACTGTGTCCTTGTTTTTGATCTTCTTGTTTTGTTGGAGTCAGTTGGAGGAATGAGCCCTTTAGGGAACAACAGTGGCTGCCCCGTCTTTTTTACAGTGGCAGACTGCAGAAAACACTCTGTATCCTTTTATTTACTGTATTTGCTCAATCCTCTAATAATGAAAAACTCTTCCTGGTGGTTGTCTCCCCAAATTTGCAGAGATCTGTGTGATTTATCACATCTACCAACGTGCAACTGCAAAGCTTGATTAACTTTTTGAAATGCTGCCGACGGGTTCTGTTAGCAGCAGTTATGCAGCCTGTGGCTTTATCTCCACACAGCACTAGTGTAGCTTTCTGCTGTTTTCTGTTCCGAAATCCTTGGGATGTGCCTGCTGAGGATGATGATTGACAGATTTCTTCTCATCTTAAAGGGTCTGAAGAAGTTTGGCACATTTTTACCAGTCCGAAGTACCCGGATATGAAACTAAATGTGCTGTGCAGAGTGTAATAGCACCTGTTACTCATCTTTGTGTTTCATATTTAATTTTGAGCAGCAGCACAGCTCTCTAGTAATTTTGTGATTCTTTACTAAATGAATAAAAATGTTCTTCATCTCATTATTCTTCAAATATTTCAATACACAGCCCAGGATCTGAAAAATCTGAAGTCCGATGATTGAGCTAGTACTCTGTGAGGTGGCATTGATGTCTCGATAGAGCCGGTGCATGTTTGTAGGCCTAATCATAGTTTAGCCTTATTCTGCGAGAGGTTGGAAGAAATTCCTGCACTGCTGCATCTCAATTACAAAATTTCACTTTTGAAAATGATTTTTCAAGCAATTCAGATGTGAGTCTGTCTGGAATGTTCCGCTTGAAGAGTCCTACATGATCTGAACTTCAATCTCATTGGCTTATTTTAGATTGTTGATCGTTTGGCGGGCTTCTCACAGGTGCTTGAAGTACTTTTATTGTGCATTTTTCAAGTTTTTCAAAGTGCTTGAATTTTTAGTAATGTCCTTAAAAGTTCAACTTTGACTAAGAGACCATTTAAAGGCGCATGAACCCTTTGCAAGTGTTTTGGCTTAATTAGCTGATTAGAGTGTGACACTTTGAGTCTAGAACATTGAACCTTTTCACAATTTTCTAATTGTCTGAGATTTTAAATTTGGGGTTTTCACAAGCTGTAAGCCGTAATCATCACACTTAACCAATAAAGGCTTGAAGAGGCTCACATTACATGTAATCTCATATGTTTGTTTCACCTTTAAAGGGAAATTACTCAAATAAATCAACATTTGATGATATTCTCACTTTCCCAGTTCCACCTGTATGCAAGATGCAGGGGAAACATTGTAAACTCAGGTTACAGGTGTTTTAAAAGCTATACTCCTACTATTGTGATGTGGGATGTACCTGGAGAGTGACGAGGGTTGAGGTCACTTTGTTTCCTCCCCGTTTTGGCTTCACCCTTTCAGGCAACAAAGAGGGTGTTTGTGTGAGACACCAGTCGGCTCGCCCTTTACCCACTCGGCAAAGGAATCTCTCTGTGATTTCATCCAGACTCGCATGGAGTCCACTCTCAGCTATTCCTGGTCATCATTGACCGTTGTTGGTTTTAAAATAAACTTAATGAGCATGCATCATTATATGGGGACTAAAAATGTAAACTCCGGCAGAAGTTATTTTCTATTTCTCTTGTGTAGTTCCACCTTTCAGGGGAAGGGGAAGGGAAATGTCCCTCCTGGGATCTGGGACAGGTTTTCCTTTTATGAGTGTATTTGATATTCGGGACATGCTTTGGCCCTAAGAGCTCCATGATTCATTGCAGGAGGCGACACTCGCCCGTAGCGGAGATCCACAGCAGAGACTAATAATAGTGTAGCCTGACTTTGTATCCCATGCGGCTCTCTTAATGCTAGCCTAACGCTCAGAAAGTAGTAAAAGTTGTTTTACCAAAAGAAAGAAAGAAAGAAAGAAAGAAAGAAAGAAAGAAAAAATCAGTTTCTCCAGTTGAGAAGTGGGAGAAGGAGTGTGGCATATTTTGACAGGGATGAATTTGATGGGGATCTTTGAACAGAGGACTCCTTTGTTTTATTATGTACTCATAAAACAACACTTCTGAAAGTTTGTGAAAGGGACACGGAACTGTAAAAGCATTGGCTTGTTGCTTTCACTGTCACTTTTATAGTTTGGCCGGCTTCCTGTTTTTAAATATGCCCTTCATTTTTTTTTCTCCATAAAGGTTCAAACATCCATACGCATGATTGAAGACCGGTCAGCTCAAAGCTTTCAAATTCTCTACATATCCTATTACTGCCTCTCACCCTGTCTGGTTGTGTGCCACTGTTTGGGCTTGTTCCCCGACGCCGTTCCCATCAAAGTAAAGAAAAGGAAAACAAAGTGTTAAATGTTAATTTAAATCTGGTTATATAAGGATACCTTGATACTCCCACCTCCTACCCAGATTTAACCTTCTAAAATGTTTGTTGTAGTGTCTTTTGGATGATATTGCTGTCACATGGGGGCACTGTTTTGCTGTAAAAGCATTGGGGTGATATAAGGTAGTGATAGCCACACAAAATGGTTGCAGCAAATTCTTCAATAAACCTCTGCACAATTATAGATTCCACCATTTAACTAACCCCCCACCCCCACCCCCACTAAAATGACATGGCCTCAGAGTGCAGGAGCTGTGTGTGTGTGTGCATGTGTGTTTGCTACTTAACTCTTGTCATGTTCCACAATGTGATGCCATCCGGCTGGTGTGGGCATGTGTAGACGCCTGCACGTGCCATCCTGCTCTGACGACGTGTGATTATAGTCGTTTTGCTTTATCTTGCAGGCATATGGAATGTCTGTCATGCCTTTGAATCTGATAAAAGGCACACGCAGTGTCGTATATGAACGCCTGGAGAACACAGAGGACATTGATGAAGTTGAGCATCAGATAGAAAATCTGAAATCCAAGGTGAGCCACTAAAGGACATGAAGCTGTTGCAGGGCACATGGGCCTAAAAAAGTGACAATTTTTCACAAGTCAACCATAAATTAGTCATGATTTAGCATTAAAATGTCACATGCGGCTTGAAACTATTGAATACTATCTTTATGTTTGATGTTGGGGTAGTTTTATTTACTAAGCAGCTCTTAAATCAGACAAGGAGTTGCATTAAGATATGAAAACAAAAATAAGATATATAATTTTTATTTATTTATTTATATATTTTTTAATGCTACAATAGCAACTCTACAAAACAAGCTAGCTTTTAAACACAAACATGCTCACGGAACACTCACCCCTTGCGTCGGGTATCTTCCACGGGCCACATCTGTCGGAGCCAGAAACTCAACAGCCAGAGGAAACGAGAGAGCTCTAAACACAGTCACCGTTTTCTAGGCCCAAATGCCTTTTGTTGTCTGTGACTTCAAAGGGTGTTTTTCTTTTTGGGGCTCTGGTATTTTGTCCTAAAGTTGACGTGGTAGAAGTCTGCTGTGTCTCCTCCTCTGATATTATTGAGCAGAGAACCTCTCACACCAGTGGTGCTCTGTTGCTAAATTTATGAGTGTGTTTTTAGAGGAGGATGCAGGGAAGTGCGAAAGTGTTTGACCAGACGGACATCCGGATGGCCCAATAGTTGGTTTTGGTCTGAATTGTGTTATTAGCAAAGATTCCTAGACAAATACCAGAGAACGACTTTAATTATTTAGTCTTTTCTTTATCTGAGCTATGTTACAACATTGTTAGGACTCATAAACAAACGTGTTTTAGCTAGCTTGTTTTCCACACTTGCTTTTGCCGCTTTAAAGGTTATCACTTATAATGAGTTACTAGATCATGCATGTCATAAAAATAACCCTGACCTTCTTATTTATGAACACACATAAGTCAAAATACCTTTTTGAATGTCATGTTTTCTTTTTCTTTTTTTCTATAAATTTAAAAATCCTCATAAATCCACCAGACCTGTCCCTTCATAAGTACAGGTGCAGGACTTTATCGAACATACATTGACTTCTTTGGTTTCTGCTGGTTTTCTTGCCAGTGTAAAGATGGACGTCCTCTGTCTTCAAAGGACAGACGCAACCTGGAGGAGCTAGAGAACAAACTCCAGCTCCTCCGACGCCGGGGGAGACACCTGGACATTGCAGAGAGGAACTGCTGCACCAAACTTGGCACTGCTCTCAGACCTCTAAAGGTGAGTCTCCGTAATGGAAGTGGCTCCCATTCACAGAAGTAAATGATGTATCCATTGTGACTATTTAACGTTAACATTTGAATAATTAAAAAGTACTTCTGTTGAACTGATTGTGCTCAAGTTCTGATCTGGACTGTTCTAGATTAACTTTCAGCTCTACTTCACACCATCACATATATACAGGATTCCCACTGGAAGTCTCTTCACCTGATTTACTCTGAAGTCTCTAAGGGAGTTCTGCATTTCTCAGACAGGATCTCGTACTTCCCAAGGGGTATGCCAAGCTACCCTCAACCCTGTCTTTATTCTTTCCCTTTCTGGAGTTGATCTGCTAATATCTGGACCTTACTAGTGCAGTCCTAATATTATTATTTCAACATTTCCCTGAAGGATAGGTGTCAGAGAGAAGAAGTCATACAAAATATCTTCTGTTAGTGGTTTGGAATCTTTTTTTTTTGTTGTTATGCTTTATTTTTCTTTACATTTTTACATACATTTCGGTTTGCAAATACACCATATATTAGGGCTGCACGATATTAGGAAAACCTGCGATATTCGATAACAGTGCTTAATATTGCGATATCGATATTACTCACGATAAATGAACAAATACTAAAGTATGCAGTGTTGATGTCGTCTGGCGTGTGACGTCTGCTCTGGGCTCAAAGCAAACAAAAACTAATGCATGAATTCCATTACAACATAACATTTTTATTGCAAAGTATGCAGCTGCACCTGCTACTGTTTTAGCAGCAAAACAACAAACTGCATGCATGCAGTTTCTCAGTGACTTTAAAACATCACCTCCACCATAAAACTTTTTCTGATGCTCCAAATACAGAAAACATCCCTTACCAGGGTTTTTAGAATAAATAAAAAAAAAATCTGAAAATTACTTTAAATGTTAAATAATAGTTAACATCACTTAAATGCAACAGCAAATTCTCTCATTGCTACTGAGCATTTTCTCCACTTATGTGGTTATGATATAAGGCTGTTGCTGTAAATGGGAAGTGAACCGTGCTGGGCCAAACTAGGAGAATATCAAGATTTTTTGAGGGAAAGAGAAAAACAATTGTCTACCTTTCAGAAGAGGAACTGGCAAAAAAACTACATGGAAAATATGTGAAAACGTTTGTTTTTAACCCCAAATTGAACAAGTTTACCTAGATCTTAAAAAGCAGCTCAGATGATGAAACTGCAACTATGATTCTGATAACAAGCTAACAAGTTGAACTAAGATAACCGGCTAACAGAGCTTCTGACTGACAGCTTATGTGCAGCAGCAAATCAACTATCCTGAATAACAAGGTTATAAAAGCTCATAAATGAAAAATCACTTTGATGTGTGGGGGAACTTTTCCAGGCCGACTTTAACAGGGTGGGACTGGGAGGAGAGTGCTGTAGCCTTTTAGTTGGAAGCTAACCGGAGCCTGGGGCTAACACTAGCGACATGAAGGTGGGTTGGTTCACCGGCACATGTCGGAGTCAGCCCGGTAAAAATGATTAACGACACCGAGCGGACTCACGTTCACGTTTGAAAGCAGCGCTGAATCCAGAAACATCAGCACAAAGTGCATTCGTTGCTCTGAGCCAGCATGACGAACAAGGGAACAGCGCCGCTAACTCTGTTCGGGTGTTGCTTTCCAAAAGGGTCTATGTAGGGGGCGGGCGTATTATGTGTACGGAACCATCTGATTGGCCGCATATCAGAGGGACTACATTTGATTCCGCGTAAAAAACAGAGCTGGTTTACAAACGGCTGATGTATGACACGGATGGAAATGTTTGAACCAAACATTTATCGCTGTTTTTGCCGTGTTTTGCGATGGGCGTATCGCACGTCCTGTTATCGTGATGACGATAATTTTTCGATATATTGTGCAGCCCTACCATATATTTTCAAAGAACTGAAAATTACAATGTATAAATGAACTCATTTGAGGAAAAAAATGGTTTGGAATCATTGCTAGCTTAGGATTTCAGTTTGCACAACTGCACAGGTCCAGTTCTTAACTCATTCACTGCCAATGACGGTTAAAGTCGTCATTTGCATTTTTTTTACTGTTTGGGCATCGGAACGAGCCCCCGCGCCGAGAGAACAAACATCTCAGCTATGAAGCTGATTTTCATCTGTATAAGTCACACTTCACATGATCAGGAAGCAGAAAATCCATGTGTTAGGAGATCGTTTTGGGCCGTTCCTGTAAAAAAAAAAGTGAGGCGCGAACCGGAAAAGCGTCTACCAATCATAATTTGACAACGGATCATGAAAGAACGGATAACGCTCGAAACACACAAATTCTTCCTGATGTAAGAGGTGAGTCTCCTCTTTGTTTTGGTTGTTTTGGCGTCGACATCATCCTAGCGCTCAACGTTCTGTGACTCTTAAAAAAACAGTAAAAACGGCGAGAAACGCTGGCAGCGAAGGCCTTTAGCGATCAGGAAACGGCTGGCAGTGAATGAGTTAAAAGACACGGTGGTAAATGTATTGATTAGCATAATACAGACACTTTTAAACTGCACGGCTTTCTGCTTCTCTGACACAAAAGCTATGTTTACATGGACGCCCTATCAGGTCAAAAATTCTTCATGTAAACATGTCAGTCAGAATATTCTGATCCGATACGGCCCGATTGGAATTGAATTACATTCTGATTGAGAGAAGTGGTTACGATTGATGTCTATATGCACATTCATTCAGATTCTTGGAATAAAATAATGCCCACTGCGCATGTGTGCAACTTCAGCGTGACATCTTTCTGCCTTTGCAGACCCTCAGGACAGGAAGCGGGTGATCATTAGTAAGTTATCCCGCTCTGTTCTCCCGTTTCGGAGGAGCAGTAGTAGTGTTATGTACCGCTGAGCCTGTACCTTAGATAAAGCGATCAGTAAAAATGAAAACATACAGGTAAAAATGCAAACGTAACGTAAGTCAAATAAAAAATAGAAAATAAATGCGATGGAAAACACATGCGGACAAGATGATGTTTGTTTACTATTCTTAGTTATTTTTTTCCGGGAAAGAGAATTTTGCTCATACTCAACCTATTTAGTTAGATGAAATGCTTGGTGTGTGTAAACTCCTGGCATGATCGGATAATTTCATTTAGTGTCCATAAAAACAGAGATGTGGGATTTCCGATCAACCAAAATTTGAATCGGATAGAGGAAATTTGGCGCCGGTAAATGTAGCTAATGACTGTGTCCTGTAAAGTAATCTTTTAGAAATCAAACATGTAGTTGACCTTAATTAGTGTTTTAGGTCAATGAGAAATCAAGCCTTAAAGGTGTGATTGACTGAAAAATGATTTATATGTGGTCACGCTGACATTTTCATGCAGGCTGAACATGAAAACAGTCTTCACGTCACTTCTGCGTTAGCTCCTGGTAGAAAATAGACAGTGAAATTCTAGGATTTGAAAATCCTCACAAATTTACGTCACCCTGTGAATTTTCATTCTTGGCCTCACCCATCCTGGCTCGCTCCCGCCCACAGAAAGGCTTCTTTAAAAATACTTTATTTAGAGCAAGGAGCGAGAGTGGAGAGTCTTGATGATAGTAACTTTGCAACAAGGCTGAAGCTGTTCTGTTAACTAATCAGAAGTGAGACGTGTGCATATAATTAATAATAACGAGTAAACCTGCTGTTTTCAGCCCACCTCTTCAGCAGCAAGCTTCTGCATCTTAGAACAGGAGCATTGTAGCATTTTTTAATGACTCATAAGGCATCGATTTACACTAGAGAACACTGCAAATGTATTGAAAAAATAAACGAGTAAACCACACCTTTTAAGACGTTATTCTTTTGTTGCTGTTGGGTTTCAGCGACTTTAACATTTTTAACTCAAGAGTTGTATGGATTAGATGAGGAAGTGTTCATAGACTTATCTGCATCGGAGCTTATGGACCTGTATCCCACATCATCTGTCAACACTTCATCACACCAGCCAGCTTCATTATAGGCTTCATATGCAAAGATTAAACATGATTCCTATTTCAAGCATTGCATCTCCGTTACAACTTCCCTTGGTGGTTAAGATGGGTAACAATGGCAATGTGAGTTTGAATTTAATTATATTTAAATTTATTTATTGAGCACCAATTCAGAGCAAAGACTTTACATAAAGAAAAGCTACACATACAATTGGTATCTGGTTGAAATTCAAAGTATTTGTAGACTATAAAATGACTGTAAAAAGTTTACCTGTGTTGATGATGATTACATCAAATCCTGAGCAAGCATGCTCCAGTAGAACCACAGTCTGAATTAGGATGGTTGCCCTTTGCCTTATCAGAAAGAGAACAGAAAAAAGGGCCAACACATTGGGATTAACATCTAAATTAATAGAAAATGTGTTCATGTTTTGTTTATGTTTGGATCAATTCGGTATAGATGGACCCAGAACAAAAGTAATTAGGATTCTTGGATTGTCTCAGATTGTTTTGTATTTTTACCCGGGCTTTCTACTGGATGTATAAGTGGTTTCACTGCGATCTCAGCGGTGCGTGCCTTCCTTCTGGCTGTGTTTCACACAGCTGATTGTGCATGATTTTGTCAGTTCACACGACAAATAACAAGGAGAAAGACTGCAGCATGTATCCAAAAGGTGTTTGGTGTATTATCTTTTCTTTTTACCTCTACCAAGGAGGTGTTGCAAGTAATAACACAATCTTTTGTCTTTTCTTTTGAAATTTGCCCGATGCTTTACACAACTTGAGTGTTTCTCGTCTGGCTCAATCAGAACTAATGAGCTTGATGTTTTGTGGAACCGTAGCGCATAAATATTGACCTAGTTCAGTCCATAACACAAAACTTCTGGGACACGTCCAAGATGCGCCGCTGCACGCCCAGTGGCAACAACCGCTTTGACTATAAAGGCGGCTATTAACTGCATATTGCACTTTGTAGACGTCACTCACTTCTTTCCGATGGAAAGCCAAGGATCGGTACATTTTCCACAATTTTGAGAAATATTGTTTTACATCAAATTTGGTGAAGACTGAAAGTCTCAAAACTAAATGTCCGCTAAACTAAAAGTTCTGTGTAACACAAATGTTTTACAACAGGTTTATGCAGCTGTAAATCCAAATATTTCCTCTCTGAACTTTAGCATCAGCTCACACGTATATTATTTTTTTTTCACTTACTGCCTTCTGCAGCTGCTGATCTAATTTATAGATGCTCATGTGGCAGGCCAAAGTGCTACAATGATGACTCATTGCTGTATTCTTCACATCGTTATACTGATATCTTTCTTCATGCTGTCATCAAGCTGCTCTACGTAGGTGCACACCTTTAGTTTGCATGAAAACGGTTTATAAAGGTATGTGTGGCTGCTTTACCTTCAGTAGTGACTCATCCAAGGCATGCACTCTTAAGATAGGTCGTACTATTTTAATCACACTTTTATCTCAGTGATGGGGCACATTTAACCTATTCCTTTACCAGTTTTACCTCACTAGTGACTCATCTCAATATTTAAAAGTGGTTTCTGAAGCAGCTAGGTTTTAACCAGGTGGTGCACCTTCTAATAACGGTCTTCAGACCTAAATGAGAACAGTAATGAGTTGGGAGATTAATTTACTGTATGCTAAGACACTGGAGGAGAGTGATAAGCGAAGGGATTGTGATTTCAGTGGCACCACTGTCTGCCAGGCACACTCTGCTCATGTTGTATTAATCCTCATGGTGAGCTGGGTTACTGAACATGACGAACACCGATTGTTAAAAAGTACATGTCCCTTTATAAAACTGCCAGCATTTTGGTGCAATTATAAGACACACTTTTAATTACTAACCCGCAAGATTTTACGATTTCTTTATTGTCTTTTTACTGGATTAATAGACATGTCAAAAATTTAATGTGTTAATCCCTTTAACACTAAAAAAAAAGATCAGTAATTGTTGCTTCTCTACTCGAGGTTGTTCTACGGCTTGTTCAGTCTGGTGTACATGTGTTTCCTCTCACGCTGCTTCTGCATGTTAGCTCAGTTTTAGTTAAATAATAAAGTACATGATCTGTCATGTTTTGTTGTTAACCTGAGACTGTGTTTATCTTAATTAGGACTCGATACAGACCATCTGTGCACTAGAACTTTTCCTGTCCCTTTCACAGGTTTGGTTGAATCAAACTTGAGGAGCATTAATGGAAACGAGATCAATGTCTGCATAACTGTCCTTGAACTGATTAATGGAGATATCTATATTACACATGTATTGTGTGAAAAGGGCTTTTGTGTAGATTTTGTATTCATACAGTCTTGCTTATATGTTGTATAAAATAATTGTGTGTGTATTTGGTAAGTGCAGGCCAAAAAGAGCTATAGTATTAGGATAACATGCAACGTGATCATGCTAGTGAATGTTGCGATGACCATGCTAGATGCAGCAAACCTTCAATTTTCTCACTCTTCTCTCTATCATCTGTCTTCCTGCATGCAGTAAGATAGGCTGTGGCCGTTATGGGTGATGAGAGTAAATTTGATATTTTATTGTCATGGAGTTGGTTTCTATGATTATTTGAAAGCTTTTGCAATCTGATTGTGTATTTTAATTTTAAAGGTCTGCCTGAGACGGGCATTTGATTATATTTATTGCTTTTTGGCTTCAACCCACTGTTTGCTTATCTGGTTACAACCTACCCATGTTGGGCTGTGCCATTGCTTCCCACTGTCACCACAGGCAGCGGTGCCAAACTCAGGCTCTCCGTACCATATGGTCCCTCCTTGACTAAAGACTTGACCGAAAGGTTGTTTTGCTGACCCATTTGATGAATGAAAAATATTTTTGAGCTAATTCAGATTGATTAGCACAAAGATAAAAATCAAACTAGTTAAAATAATTATGGCAACAAAACAAGTACGCTAAATAGTCTAAGATACCCTCTATGAAAAGGTTGAAGCTTCAGCTTCTGAATGCCGACCATTCTCACAAATATATTTTATCCTTTGTAAACCTAATATTACCGATAGTAATAATCAAAATATTTAAAATTATTCCAAAATCCTAAATGAAAACCCACATTAATAAAATTCAGGAATCATCAGAGTATCTGGAAGAAACAACAGGTGAAAAAACAACTCTGTTTTCTATTTCTGTACTGTTGTTTCCCTCCACTGATGCAGAAGTCTACCTGTATATGGCACTATTAAAATATATTTTTAAACACCGCATTTACACACTTGTGTCAACACTGTTAGTCCATAGAGTCACACCTCTTACTGAAACTCATTATTGCTTGACCTTTTGCACTAGAGCAGCAATACTCAATAGGCGGCCCGCGGGCCTCTTCTTTGTGGCCCCCGAACCGCGCTGGTGTGCATGTATGTTGCCGTTATATTGTAGGCTTGTGTAAAAAACCATCAGCATCCCCTCACCTGGTCCAACAGACAAGCTGGAGGGGAACCAGCCCCCCTGGTCCGACAATGTAACAGTACCCCCGGACCGGACCTCGCTCTTCGAGGTCGTTTTGTTGAGTGGCCCTTGGACCATTACATTTGAGTAACCCTGCACTAGAGGCTGTTTGAAAATAAATTCTCCACTAAAGCCATGCATGCTTTCTTTTTAAGCGTTCGTTTGTATATAGGAAGTTCAAAAATTGACCGAGTCCTGGACCTTTCACACACCCGATTTAAAGGCTAAGTTCACAGAGAAGCCGTTTTTTACTTATTTACTTATTTTATTATTTTTACTTATTTCCTGCATTAGCCGCCAATAGAGAATAGACACGGAAATGCTTGGATTAGAACAACCAGTGACATTTGCATCATATATGTAGCTAGCATTCATGGACTCGCTCATCTTGGCTCGCGACGGGTAGGCTGTTGTTTCTTTATCATCCAGGAGAGAGCAGAGTGCTTCTCGGCTAGTAGAAGCTAACCGTTAGCAATAACAACTCAACAACATGGCAGAACTCCTTCAGATTTGTGTTTTTGTGGAGATAAAACATCAATGTTGCAGAGCAAACTGAGTTAGTCGTAGAGTCACATTGCTTTTAGCCAATCAGAGGAGAGATATCAGAACATCAGGAAACAAGAATCCAGATCCTGCTGTCTGCAGCTCACCTCATGTCTGGCTCACTTTAGTTTGTGAAACAGGAGCGTGAGATTTGTTTTCTCCCCTTAGATTGACTCAAAGCATTAATTTAAACTAGAGTCCACTGCAAATATGTGGAAATAAAAGAAGTGAACTTGGTCTTTAATAAATGGTACAATTGATATATTTCTTAAAGTATTTTCATTAACAGTTTTTAAGACTGAATGAAAACTGCTTTTGTGTTGGTTTTTAAGTGTTTCTTTACACCTACCAAAAAACAAGTGATGCATGACAAATATTTCACAGACGACTTGTTTTTCCTTCTTTATTTACAGATCATACTGGGTGTTTTCATCATCCTGGTTGCTCTGCTTTTCATCGTTGCCCTGTTTATTTCAAAGTAAGACACATTTTCTATTACAAGAACACAATTCTTCCCATTGAACAGCTCTGTCAAAGAAATGCAATATGTGGAATTTTTATGCGTATTCATGTGTAGAGTTGGAAATGCTAAATTTCTCTGTGCTTTTAAGTTTGGATAAAGCCCTCCACTCTGCGGGAATCAGTTACGGATTCATAATCTTTGGCACCAACCTAACAAATCCGCTGAATGAACTTCTACTTGCCTTACAGCCTGTGAGTATCCTCTCAAATCTTATGTGGAGAAAAAACAATTATCCTCAATTAGAATTTGGTTAAAGTCATATTTTCTTGTTTCTGTCATCATTACCATGAATGAAGTGTAATTAGCAGCTTTATCTCATCCAGTTTTAAATTGTAACACGGTATTTAAGGCTGTTTGTTACAGCTCAGCTTTAGTAGCCACATCTCTCTCTCCCTCTCTCATACACACACACACACACACACGCACGCACGCACGCACGCACACACACACACACACACACACACATAAAATGGCTTTAATTTTAGGCAGCTCAAACCCACATTTATATCTAAAATGACTATGTGCACAGATTTTTAATCACAATAAATAAAAATAGTTTTTAGTTAATAAACTTTACTTTAAAAATATCCAAAAGAAAGAGGAATACTGCTGTAGCTGTGTTTCCACTAGATGAGTTCCAGAACATTTCTGGGAGGGGGTAAAATTACGCTGGCTCAGTCCTTTTGGTCCTCCTTATACAGAAAACATCCCTTTCAGGATCTTTTCTAGGACTTTAGCATGTTGCAACCATTTTGGCAGTCGGTGACATTACTCATCTGAACCAAAAAGTATCCACAGACATGAAATATTACTCTGTTCACATCAGGCAAGAATTTTCAACCAACTCTTCTGCTCACGCCTACTGTTTTCCAAACCCCCGTGCCCTTGCTGTGTGTGTTTGTGTGTGTATGTGTGTGTGTGTAACCAGTTTGCCCTGCTTGTTGATATCAGAAACTGTGTTGATCCTGCTGCTGTGTATTTGTTTGTGTTGACATTTATTGAATCCATCTTTTGCTGTAAAAACTGCATTCTAAATGATGAAACACCATGTTTCTCCGCAGGTGTGTGTGTGTGTGTGTGTGTGTGTGTGTGTGTGTGTGTGTGTGTGTGTGTGTGTGTGTGTGTGTGTGTGTGCGTGCGTGCGTGCGTGTGTGTGTGTGTGTGCGTGTGTTCATTTTCATCTCTCTAGTCTGTTTAGATACACAAAAATTATCACATTTATCAATCACAGTGTTTTGTTTGGAAAATTTTATTTTATTTTGTTACATTTACCGGCCTGCCTCTTCTGCTTTGGTTTGACGTCCTGGGGGAATTGACCCAGCTAACAGGAAAATCAGAGCCCACGCCGAAACGATCACTGCACGGCACGAGCCTTCACAGCTGATGTGACTGAGAGCGTAGGTTAACAAGGGCGCCGATTAGAAGCGCTCCTCATCGCGCTTCCGCGTCTGATGTGTTCTGGGCATTAGGGTACTACAACCCCTCAGGGCACTTCACAACACAATCAGTTTACCCATTCACACGCTGGTGGGGATGAGCTGTGATTTACCTTCAGCTGCCCCGAGGCGCACTGACAGAGGCGAAGCTTGCCGTATACTGGCACCACCAGTCCCTCTGACCACCACCAGCAGGCAAGGTCCGTTAAGTGTCTTGCCCAAGGACACAACAGCAGCATTCTCTAGTCAAAACAGAGATCAAACCTGTGACCTTCCCATTACTGGACAACCCACTCTACCACTTGAGCAGATACTAAAAACTTAATTCTTAGTGTTTTTGGATGATTTATATTTTCAACCAGACACGGAAACAGAGGTGAAAGAGAAAGGAAGAGACAAAAGGAAGGGGGAGGGGGGGTTCCACAAAAATAAACAATCAATGATGAACAAGAATCGGCTTCTAGACCTGCAGAACAAGATCAAACTATCACTGCGTCAACCTGATGAGGAAATATAAAATCGACATTGTTTTGCTGAACAATCACGCAATAACTCACAGTGCATCTAGTGCCAACCACAGCCTTAAAACGTGTTGAAAATGCCCAAGTCCATACTTAAGAGAGCGCCATGTGAGCACCTGTGGGTGTTCACTCGCTTGTATGTGTAAGGATTCTCTATAGGAGCGTCCAAGAGAGAGTGTGAGGGGCCACAGATCCGCCCTCCAAAGATGTGTAGGAGATGGAGGGAGCTCCAAGTCCCAGAGATCCAGGATTTGTCCCAGAGTGCAGGGACCCCAGGGAGACTGTATCCAGAGAAGCTCCAGACCCCTCTCGGGACGTGCAGAGGATTGCCCCGGGGGGCCACAACCAGCAGCCGGCAGAGTCCTGGGAGATAACGGCAGCAAGCCCACAGGCCTACCTGCAGCCTCCCACCCCCAAGCCAGCCAAGCCCGAAACCCAGCGACCTGGGACCCAGGGGCGACCAGCCCCGCCGAGGACCCAACACAGCCCAGGGACCCAGATCCCACCAGGCAGCCATCGGGATTAATCAGACAAACACCAAAAATCTTAAACCCCCTGACCTGAGAGCCGCGAACACTCAGGCAGACCAAGGCACCATACTCCACACCAAATGTGGCAGGGGGAGGGGAGGCGAAGATGTGTAGTTGCACAAGAAGTCCCAGGAGAGGGGATGAGTCCAAGACCCCATCTGACATATACAGCCATGTACAGACACAGTCACACACTCCCTCCCTCATGCTCACACACACATACAACCTAAGACTTACAAAAATGAACACTAGATACCCACTCATGCTCCCCACACACACCCTATTCACTCTGGTCCCGGTACTGCTGCACAAAGGCTACAACCATCACCGGTTTCCGGAGTTAGCCCTTTTCTGCTGGGGTGATGATGAGCAGGCACCCCGTGCACAATGGCGAGCAAAGCATCCCACCACCCCAGACCCCAACCAGACAGCCTGCTCCCACTCCTATGGCCCAAAGTGTGTGTTTGCGTGGATTATTATTTCAGAGCAGCCAAGGTCCACCAAATCAGCATTATATTTCTGCAACGGTGTGTCTAATAAATGCGTCATGTCAGCATGATGATGCACAGATTTTGCGGCACTCGTTCTGCCTTGTTGGTAGTAATATTGCGATAATTTTCTCTCTCATAAAGGCGATTGTGCCTTGGCACAACAGAGGGAGGTGTAATGTCATTATGACATGGGGAGTTACTGCTGAGATGATAATCTGGAGCGATCCAGCGCTCCTGGATTTTTTTTTTCTGTTAGAGCTGGAGCTCAGACCACCTGAGACTGCACAGGGACTGTGGAGGACAGACACCTTAAAAAGTGGCTTGTTAAGAAAATTAATGAGCATGACTTTAATCGCAATAAAAAGCAAGTTTTATGTCCAAAATAAGTGGAAGTCCGCGGCAGCGCAGGGACCACCCCCACAGCCCCATTATGCCACCATCACCTAATTTTTTTGTGAAAAAGACACAGTTGTGCTACAATACCGCCAAGGTCTGATCACTTATAGACGACCTAAGGCTTCCTGATGTTGTTTCAGCCTTGTGGCAAATTGAGGGCATTGTTTTGTAAAAACGGCTTGTGTGAACATCCGGTAAAATTACCTGGAACTCCAATAGTGGAAACAAGCCTTTTGTCGGAAATTAGATTGAAGGATGAAAGAAGAGTTTGTTGATTTATTTAATAATGACAAAAGGAAAAATTTAATGGTTGTTTTATAAATCATGTGTTTTAAAAACTATTCATCCATTTCAGAATTGTGCAAACCGGTTATCTCCTAAATGAGAGAAAAGTTGAAAAACAAAACAAAGGAAATCAAAATAAAGACACAAACATATTTAAATAAACAAATCTATCAGGCTTTCTGAATCATAATTGTTATCGGGCTCTCTGCATGCATGTCTATGTAATGATACATTTTGAATCTCAACCCATGACTTTGTTCTGAGAAATTCAGGAACAAATAATGTTATCTTTCTAAAGATGTCATCCTTAACCTTTTGTGATTCTTTGCAAACTAAAAAAATATTTAAAGAAATTCAAAATCTAAAACTAAAAGCAATCAATGTGTTCTGTGTTATTTACCCAGTCTTCATTGTACACAAAAAGTTTGTGTCTCTACACCAGAGAATAATTCTATCAACATGTATTTGAATAATTAACCAGTGTGATTTTGTCTCCTTGAAAAAAGCATTCATAAAAAAGAACACACAGGTTTAAAGGCTAAATAAAGCATAATGCCTTTTGACTCTTTTGTTTGAGCCAATAAAATAAAAAGATCTCATGTTTATGTGCTATTCTTCGAGCTCAAGAAGGTGGTAGACAAGGTTTTTTTTTCCTTTCTATGCATATCCATCTGAGATCTGTTGAAGTTGGTTTCTGTAAAAGATGAACAAAGAAAATGGTGGATAGCTGTTGAAACATTAGATGTGACTCGATTGACGAGCTTACCTCTTGGTCAATTTTTTGAAAGGTCTCAAAATCAAATGCCACAGTATACAAATGCTGTTTTATAAACTTTCTTTGCAACCATACATTTAGAATTACAATAGTTTAAATAAAACAGAGCAGTGTTCACTGATCTGGTTGCTTTTATAATAAAACAAGTGACGGTAGCGTCAGACCCAGTGTTTGGCAACATTCAAGACTCACGACCTGGCAGCAGCTTCCAGGTTCTATAAAGCTAAAGAAAAAAGGAAGCAGTTTTGCTTCCAATGTCAGCACAGTTCCAGGAGTTAAAACTGAAAACCGGACCAGATCCAGTGGTCTCCACAGCTGTTTGTTTTGTTCAAAAAGTAATCACTTATTGGAGAACTGTATGCTGTTCAAAGCTAAGACGCATCCCCCTCCCAGATGTCTGAGCTTCTCACCCTATCTATGAGGTAGAGCCCAGACACCCTTCAAATTAAACTCCTTTTGGCCATTTTTATCTGCAGCCTCGTTCTTTTGGTCACTTCCCAAAGCTCGTGACCATAGATGAGGGCAGAACAGATCAAGCGATACAACGCCAGCTTTGCTGCAGACGCAGCACCAATCCGTCTATCGATCTTGCGCTTCTTCTTTCCCTCACTTGTGAAAAAACCCAGAGATACCTAAAGTCCTCCACTTGAGGCAGAACCTGAGTAGTGTCATACTCCTTTCCAATTCAAGCTAGTAAGTAATTCTTTCACTCAGATTTTTATAGTTCTGTTAAAAATTATATAATATTAGGGATGTAAGAAAATATCGATATGGCAATACATCGTGATATTTTTTCCACCAATATTATATCGATATTCAAAAGCCGCTTATCGGAAATATCGATATGGCAATATATCGCGATATTTTTCCTGCGATTATTACATCGATTTTCAAAAGCCGTGTATCTAATTCTTGAAAGAATTTACATGCAAACACGTGTATTTTCTTTTTGTTTTGTGCAATTCAATCGCCACCCGCTAGTTGGCAGCAGTGTGCAACGGGTTTTGTTTCCACCATTGAAATGTAAATCCCTCCATCATGGTTCAGATACCTCATGTTAAACATGTTACGTATCAGTTTGGACTGTTTATTGAACATTCTTACAATAAATTCTGTAAAAAAATTGCTTGTAACGTCTGACTGAATGTATCGCAATATATCGTGATATATCGTATCGTCTCCCCTGTATCGTGATCGTATCGTATCGCCAGAATTTCAAAAATACACATCCCTGTATAATATATAATTAATGTTGATCAAAATCCTTTCCCCACAAACCAACATCAGATGATCTAACCTATTCTTTTAAAATACACATGTACGTAACTTTTGGGAATGTTTTCAAATGACCAAAGATTTAGTAAGTGAATATTTTATACGTGAGATGTTGGCACTGACAGAAAATTCAATCACCATCATCTCGTCTTGCCCCTCGGCCCCTGCTCTTGGACATAAGCATCGACTAGAACAAACTTGGTTTTTGCTTTCTATTCCTCTGCAGAATTTAGAGGGAAAAAAATGACGTACAGCTCAGACCAATAAAGAATTGCTTCACAGATAGCTGCATTGATTAAATGTCTAAGATCAGTGCTTAGAAGCATGACTCTGGTCCTTAAGAAATTAAGTGCCTCACATCAAAAGTGGGTTGTTAAACTTGTAGGTAACGGGCTGTAGGTTGAGTCTGACCCTTTTTATGTCACACACTGTATCAACTGTGGTGTTTAATGACTACGTGAAACACATTTACCAGCTCAGAAGATCTGATTGCATTAGGCTATATTAAATGATGCTGTTAAAATTTGTTTATAATTAAATGTTTGGAACAAAAATAAACTATGTGATTTGTGCATGTAAGGAATGAAACTGAGCTCTGGTCTTGGTGTTGCAGGTTTTTCCACTGGATTACATCCTGATTACGGTCATCACCATGTACTTTGTGCTCACGTCCATGGCTGGCATACGCAACCTGGGCATCTGGTTCTTCTGGATAAAAGTAAGAAATAAGCAAATGTCTGTTTTACCTTAAAGAGCAGGTTCAGTGAGAAAATGTGTTTTATTTATTTTATAAATATGATCATTCACTTTGAGTTTAACGTACCGGCTGAATGTGAAAATAGTCTTCTACCCTTATTTCCTGCATTAGCTATCGGTAGAAAATAGTAAGAGTTAGAAAAGCTAGTCAGAGCCACGTCACAATGTAAAATTAACATTCATGGACTCACCCATTGGCTTGTGAGGGGAATGGCTGTCGTTAGTTTAGCATCCAGGCAAGAACAGAGCGCATCTTGGCTAGTAGAAGCTAACCATTAGCAACTCCACCACACTGCAGAGCTCCTCAAGACGTGTGTAATTTGTGGAGATAAAACATCAACGTTGCAGAGCAAACAGAGTCAGTGGTAGAGTCATGTTGCTGTTAGCCAATCAGAGACGAGATGTCCAAATATCAGGAAATAGCTGCCGTCTTCAGCTCCCTTCTACTCTGGCTCACTTTTATTTCCTGAAACGGTAGCGCCAAAGTTTTTTTCTCCACAGAGTGACTCACAAGGCATAAATTCATACTAGAGACCGCAGCAAATGTGTTGAAAAACGCATTATCTTGGTCTTTAAATCAACTTTAAAAAAATATTATTATTGTGAAAAACCCAGTCTCAAATCCTAATGGATACAAAAACTAGTAAATGTTTAGAAAATGTTTTGCAACATCAATCTAAACGTTTTTGTTCTCCTAAGTTGCATGAGCATGAAATTTGAATCTTTTAGTATTAAAATGTTATTTTTAGAGACTAAATTTAACAGCTCAGCGTACAACTGAAACTTTGACTATTCCTTAACTTTTTCTTATTTATTTCTTTTTATTTCTCCTGCTGAGAATCTTTGCATACACACTTGTTTTGAAATGCATCTGAATTGTTCTTGTTTGTAATTATTAAATAGAATAAGAAATTGATCTTTAGCAGTTTAAAGAGACACATTTCTCTCGTCATCTGTGTGACGAGCTGTGTGCTTTTGTGAGGAAAAAAACTTGTTTGCTGACTTGGCAGAAAACTTTAAACACAAAACAGTCATGAAACACAAGGACGGCGTGACTTGAACTGTCTGGGGAGAGCTTCACGATGCTGCAGCACTGATGCCTGTAGCACTTTAATAGATATTACCTAATAGACCTGCAGATGAGACTGAAAGAAAACCTAAATATAGGACATCCATCCGAGTCGCTAAAGGAGAACACCCAGTTTTTAAATCTATGGGTCATGCATGGGTTCATTTGTAATATATATATATATATATATATATATATATATATATATATATATATATATATATATATATATATATATATATATATATATATATATATATATAAATTGTCAATCGGTTTATTAATAAGTCTGTAGTTCATTCGTTATTAAGACTTCAACAAACAAACCAATAATCTTACAAAATGGGTTCAAACAGTACATGTTAAACAGATTTCTATGAATTATTTAGTGAGAGCTGAATCTTTCATTTACCTGTGATGCACTCAGGATGTAAACAAGAATTCAAGTGTTGTGATAAAGTAGAGTTATAGCACTGCTCTTAAATGTTTACGTAGAAGTGCTGCTGCGTTCAAGTAGGCAAGGCAGCTTTATTAGTGTAGCACATTTCATATGCAGAGACAGCGAAAGTATAAAACAGTATATTTTAAAATTACAATTAAAATGCATGTAATTTGACTTCTAAAATGAAAAAAAAAAGTAAAAGTCTGAGCAGTTACACAACCCTAACCCTAATTCACATTTTCCTCCAGTGGTTTTGAAATATCCAATGTGTTACGGGGTATCGTAAAAAACTGATATTTTTGTATTTTACCCACCTAGTGTCAAGTTTACTTCATAATAACGTCCTCTTCTGTTTTTGTTGTAGCTGTACAAAATCCGCCCGAAGAGAACTTGTCCCCAGGCTCTTCTCTTCCTCTGCATGATCCTTCTCCTGATTGTCCTACACACCAGCTACATGATCTACAGTCTGGCCCCACAGTATGTCATGTATGGCAGCCAGAAATATCTTGTACCGGTGAGAAGCAAAAAAAAAAAAATCATTTAAATTTCTGTTTGTTTGGTTTCCATGAAGAGTACCATCTGTAAGGGTGGGTTTGCAGGAACGGCACTGTCAGTTAGTCAGTGGGTTCAAACTCCTTTGGTCCAGCTCGGTGTAGGCAGCAGAGCGGTCTCTACGGGCTGGCAGCCAGGCTTTTAGACTCTTGTTCTTTTAAAAATCCTGTCTATCTGTCAGACAATGTGGCTTTTGCTGTGTGGATCTGTTCTTTGACAGTATACCCTCTGTGTGTTCTGCTGTAGCTCGGCTCTTTCTCTGCGGGGGTGTGCATTTGGTTTCGGTGCATACTTGTTTGTGTCTGTTGCATCTAAAAAAATAACATTTTTTGTGCCGCATCATTCAAATGAGCCACGGTGTTGTGCTAAAATATTCTCTCTCTAACTGAAAGAAGGCAATCATTTAGAAGCTAGCTGTGTGACTCACAGGGTAAATATGGTGTATTTCTACCTGCTCATGTATTTCCACCAACGATATTCGATTGTATTTATTTTTTGTCGTTATGCCAATGTGATGTGTCCCACAATATGGTGGATAAATAAGAGCCAAGAGAAAATACCTAAAAAGTTTCAGTCTGTGTAAAGAGATGGATTTTATTTTATCATTTAAACTTCATTAAAACATAAATCTAGCCTTGTAAAAACAGGTGTTTGGCACAAACTTAGGAGAACTACTAAATAATGGTACTGTTGAACAGAGATACATTTTGTTTTTAGCTTGCTTTTAGCACCCCCTAGTGTCCAATTAGTAAGACCAAAAGTGAAACTTGTCCTCTCGCTGTGTGTTCGTCTTTTAACACCTTAATCTAACTGCTTAAATGTCTCCACAGCCTTCCTCAGTTTCTACAGGGGTAGTTCATCACTATGTCAGACAAATCAGCTGTGTTCATGATCATGCAGGAAGTGTGCTGGAAGCAGAGTGTAGCGCCAGGCATGTTAGCTCTTCCTTACTAAGGGCCTTTAGACTAACAGGGATGGAACTGGCACTCTGAAGTTGCAAGTGCAATGTTCTGGCCACAGAGGTCGGTGGGGGTCTGAGTAATCAATCAATCAATCAATCAAAGCTTTATTTATAAAGCGCCTTCCGCAACCCTGTCAGGAAGCCCAAAGCGCTGAAGTGTTAGTAACATTTCATGAACCCTGTGGAGGGTCATTTTAGCACATACTGGCTCAAGAAAATGATTTAAAAATGTACAAAAGTGGCATAGCCTTTAAGATCCAAAGAACAGGCTCAAGTTTTTTTACTTAAAGCAGAAATGACGAATTTCCATGTTGATCCGTAACCTTTGCGTTGTAATTGATCATTTTAAAGAAACAATTTCACAACAAACAAGTGTTTTGAGCACTTATTTGTGGACAAGCCTCAAAAATCCATCAGGTCCAGGAGGCAAAGCAAGACTTCTCTTATCTCAGTGACGCTCCAGCTCTTCCTGGAGGACCCTGAGGCATTCTAACGATCCCTCAGGAGGAATCTGGTGACTCTGTGAGGTTTGGATCTGTCTCGGTCCGCCTGTTAGGACTTAACCTGAAAACCTCCAAAGGGGTGGAACAAGAGGCATCCTGGTCAGATGCCCGGACAACCTCAGCAGGGTCTTTTTGATAAGTTGGAGCAGCGTTTCCACTCCGAGTATACAGAGTTCTTTGTCAAAGGCTGAATTTAAGGAAGCACATCTTGCTGTTTCGGACACAATCCAAATCCCATGACTGCAGGAACGTAGACGAACCAGTAAATCAAGAGCGTCACCTTCTTGCTCTGCTTCTTCAAGGCCATAAATCAGTCCAATTCCCTCGTTAGTGATCCATCTGTCAATCCCTCTCTTAATATTAGAACTAATTCTTCTACTCCCCCACTCGAGGCTGAGACTCACTGCTGCGAGCTGAAGGGAACATTTCACCTTTTTCTACATGAGAACAATGGCTTCAGATTTAGAGGAGCTGACTCATCGTGTCCACTTAACACCCTGCTGCAAACGGCCTTAGAGTGCACTTTAGGTCGTGACCTGATGACAACACCGGAACCATTTAATCAAAAGTGGAGATGCTTTCTTGAAATGTAAAATCCAAACACCCTCCACTCCAAACCTTTTGTCTTGAGATCCACAAGAGGACCAGATGTTTTTGTCTTTCTATAAAGATTTTCAGTTGAATTGTTGCTAGTATGTTTAAAATTATTGTGCTGGATTTTCTTTAGTATTTTTATTTTATTATGGATTTTTGCCATCCTACCTAACTTAGCTGTTCCTGAATGGTCTGATGAACGCAGCATACCAGTTTACCGTAAATCCTCTAATACAGGTTTAAACCCAAACCTTTATTTACTAAAGCACATCCTGGTTCAGGCCTTTATGGGAAGGAGGCCAGAATTAGGGGCAGGCCTTAATTTCAATTTGTGCAAAATAAACTGCCAGTAAAATGAATAAAAACAAGATTTTGTGTCTATTTGAACCTATAAAACACTAGGTAGGTTTGTTGAAAATGTGCAGTTAACATACTACATACGTATGCATTTACAACAAACACTGGAGGAGTTACCCAACGCTGAAGCAATCAACACGACAAAGTACCTTGTGTGGCAAATTTCATATTACACTGCAAACTAAAAGCCTTTTATGAGTCTGAAAGTCTACAACAATTTTATTTCAGGTTGGTTCACAATTTAGAGATCCAGAGAAGCTTTAAATGATCGTTGTTTGCTATTTTAATTATGCAATTAACTCGTAATGATAGCTAATGTTAACGGTGACTACGTGCTACTTAAAACTAACATTTTATCCCCTTTTAAATCCGAATTTATGGTACATTTGTTTGATTTTATTAAGGTATTAATGCCACATTACAACACTGATCTAATTGCTAAAAACATTAGCACTCTAAAACTTATTTGCGTTGAGGACAAGTGAAAACAGCATCAAAACTGTTTGCCTGCAGTTTTTGTAGCTGCATTTCAAAATAACTGTTCAATAACACTACATAGTTGTTAGGGATGTGAATCTTAGAGCAACTCACGATTTGATTTGATTCCGATTCTCGGGGTGCCGATTCGATTCAGAATCGATTCTCACTTTAAATTGATTCACAATCAGTATTACCAGAGTGTCAGCTCCAGGATTAACTACTTTGTTGTACAAGTTAGTTAAAGCTATGGGACATTTTTATTTGACTTTAAACTGGTCATGCTCCAAAAATGCAAATTTACAATGTAAACTAAAGTGATTCTAAAACTGTAAACAGAAGCAATCTTTTGACCAAAAGGCAACATTTATTTTTGCTTACCTTGTAAAATATAACAAATCTGTAGTTACCTAACAGTAGCTTTGAAATTATTACGGTCAAATACTTTTCAAGTATGTGTAGAAACAAGTTACATGAGTAATCCTGAGTACTCATTTATCAACTTAGAAAATAAATATGAGAATATCTCAAATTAATGAGTATGGAAAAAATGACATTTAAGTGCCCTCTTATCAGCAGATTCAAACATTTATCATCTCAATTTATGGGACCACAAAAGTAAACAGAGTACTGACTCTCCTAACAAAGATCAAAAAAGTGTATCTCAAACCTGTAACATGCCAAACATTTGAGTTCTTGGAATCGATTCTGAACCTTTGTGAATCGATTCAAGATTCTGTATAAATGAGAATCCCGATTCAGACTTGAATCGATTTTTTTCCGCACCTCTAATAGTTGTATTAGAAGTCTAATAATCTTTTTCAATTCAATTCAATTCAAAAATACTTTATTAATCCCAGAGGGAAATTGATTTTGTGTTGATTTTAGATGGTGGAAGTCTACATCTTGTTATTCTGCATGAAGTAGTTTCTAAAATGTTCTAAACTTTAACAGAAGCATTTTCCCCCTGCTTTATCAGAGTCCGGCGTCCTCAACAGGATCTCTGTCTGGAAACGGCACCACGAGGACATGTGACGCAGATGCACCCGAGGGTAAGTTTCTCATTGTTAGCACTACAAACGATGAAGATGAAGTTCCAAAAACTGACAAAGTATTTACAGCCCAACTAGTTAAAGCACAATACGGTTTCAATTATATCATTTGTTATTCATTAGACCCAATTAAATCAAGAACAAACATTTGCTTATGCAAGATGTGTGTGTGCGTATTAAGGAACATCAGCCATGAAAACATAAATGTGTAAATGTATATCACACTAGCGGGCTTTAATATGGTAATTTATTCATTTGACTAATGGTCAAGTCTTGGTCCATCTGGTACTGTGCTGCAGAGGCAGAGATCTAAGATACAGATTAGTGTTGGCTTATATATGTTTCTCAGTTCATATTTGTAACATAGAGTCGAATTTTCAGTGCTTGCATCGTAATTTTGAATTGAAGCTGTAAGATTTGGTGTCATGGTGTTTGCAAGGACTGAAAAAGACCCACAAGGAGTTTTATTTCAATAGAATGTATTTGCAAATTGTTGAAAAATAAAACTCCAGGAGTGTTCTGATGGAAATTTAATTGGCAGGAAGGTGAAAATGTCCTAACCAAATCATATGGAGGTGTGATTTCCATGTACCACCCATAGAGAAAACCACGCCCTTACACACATCAAGCCAAAGTACCGTGACCTAAAGATTCCTAGCAGAGCAACAAATAGCAACAAGATAATCAATGTTTTCACTTCACTTGTCAGCAGCTTCGTTGGTGCTGCTGATTGCTGTTTCTTCTCACTTCAGCCATTTGTACCTCAGAGTGAAGTCATCTGTACAAACACGTCTCCCTTTCACCTGCAGAAGTGTTTGGCTTGTTTGTTATTGTTACCAGAAGATTATTTGTGCGGTGGATAATTAATGATTTAAATTGTGCATAAATGCTTTCCAAAATGACAGTTGACAAAAGTGGAATGCAATTAGAGTATCTAATGAGATTTGATGTGTTGAAATGTCAAGTGTGTATCGAAACAGACTGAAGTTCAGGTGGAAAAAAGTTGAATAGGAGTTGTTCGTTCTTAGAACGGAAAATTTATCTTGTTTTCTAAGGCTCTGTATTATTTTATTTTATATATAAATTATGCTTTTATAAGTTCTGTTTTTATACCTGATATTTTGGAGCTTTGTTACGTCCTGGCTGTGCTAGGGGTGTAGGAAGGTAACACAAACCTGTGACCAAATCTAAAGGTGGAGGAGTTTAATAAGAACAAAGGCACAGAACAAAATAGAGAATGCTAATGATCTAACAATAAAACAGAAATATCAATAGTCTCAAAGCAAAACAGGTGCCTCGAAACTAGGAATGCTCGATATTGGCTTTTTTACCGATATTGCGACTCTTTAATTTTCAATACCGATACACGCGGGGGGTCCCCCCTCGTAAAAGTAAAAACATTTTAGGTTACTAACATCACATATCTCCTATCACTCATGCTTAAATGTTAAACTATGTCTGTGCAAAATTACAAATACTTCTACTTAAGTTAATAGGAAAAGTGCCATTTTTAATTAGCAAGGACAACTGAATCTCTTTCTTCCTAAGCATGACACTGACATTTCTATATTAGTTAATAATGTACATATTTAGTCTTTTTCTGTATATAGCAGTTACAGCGATAAGACATTCATAAAAATCTTAAGTTAAGAAAAGCAAACCTTAGGTGAAGACTCTTGCTTTTTTTAGTTGTGTGGTAAGATGCTAAATGGTCTGTATTTGCATAGCACCTTATTAGGGTTCTACAACCGCCCAAGGCGCTTCTCAACACAGGCATTCACCCATTCACACGCTGGTGGGGATGAGCAATGACGTAGCCACAGCTGCCCTGGGGCGCACTGACTGATCACTGGCGCCATCGGTCCCTCCGAGCACAAAGTGTCTAGCCGAAGGACACAACAGCAGCATTCTGTGGTCGGAGCCGGCATTGAACCTGCAACCTTCTGATTACTGATTACAACCCGCTCTACCTCCTGAGCTATTGCTGTACCAAAGCTTGTCTTAAAGTTTGTCACTACACAGGGCGATTTTCTACTACACAAATTGTGGCAAACAAACTAAAATATCTCAGAAACCTGACCTCACGTCTGTCATATTTTGACATTTTGAGAGAGAAGTTGCTGAAGAGTTTGATGTATTATATGTGCATGGTATGTAAAAGTTGTGCTATTAAGGCTGAAAAACGAAACCAATATTTTGCTATTCCGTTTCAATTCAATTAAATTCAAAAATACTTAATTAATCCCAGAGGGAATGATTATTAATATTTCACTGCATAGACTAAAAGGTAGAAAGAGACCGAGGTATCATAAGTAAACACATAAAATGCATGTTTTGTTTACTGACTTTTATATTTTATCTGTTGCCAAGAACCTGACATTCTAACCAAAGCAACAGACAAGAATGTTCAAAGCCTCAGAGAGGCCAGTGTTTTTGCAGTGTTAATGGAAATGATCCTGATCCACTCCAAAAGTTAATGGGTTTTACCTTTTGCTCATTGCCTTGTTGGAGGTATTGCACTTTATTTAACTTCTGCCGAGCCTTAATTAACAAAACTTGTTTGTTTACTGGGTACCAGTATTTGCCTAAAAGGATGGCTTGTGTGTGTGTAAGAGGGCGAGAAAGAGCCAGACACCATGATTAATTAAATTATCTATTTTTCTTTACCAAACATGGTAAGAAAGGCATGGTCTCCAATAGAATCCAGTCAATGGTTCCTGCATTAAAATATAGGTAAAATATATATTTCTAGTCAAATTTGGTTATTTCAGATTTAAGAACCGTTTTCACACTTTCATGGTTAAAAAAAGACAAATCTATATATCTTGTGCAAGTATCTGACAGAAAATCACTATTGAATGATAAATACTTGGGCATTATCGTAATTCAAAGCCAGAGAGCTTTTTAGCTGGCCTAAAATGGACTTTTCTTGAGTCTGCAGACTTCCTTCTCATAAAGCGACCATTGTTTGATGATCAAACAAAGGCAGGAGAAGCTGTGTTTTTAGTTTTCCCCATGCTGCACTGTCTTTTAGACTTTACATGTGGTTTGCTAAGATCAAACTGTAATATTTCTGTTTTTAAATGAGTTCATTTTATTGAGTTTGTTTAAATTGACTGTGTGTGTTTTTCCTGGCTATAGGGGGCAGTGCATACCTAAATCATTGCAAGCAAGTGGCCTTTTTGTGTTTGAGTAAGACCATACCAACAGAAGGCCCTTAGGGTTCAAAATCCCAGGGAGCGCAATTTTTGACTGAGTATTTTGTCCGCTTGTTCAACCTCGAGCAAAGGGTGTGTCCCAATCCACGGGAAGGATGCTTGTAAGAGCGCATTTTGAGGTCAATGACATCACAGCACAGCGACGAATACTGTCCGAATTCCAAGAATACTCATTCTCGCGCCCTCAAACGCTTCCTCGCTCCGCCCACATTTCGAGGACGAGTCTGTTGTATCCTCACAGAACAAGGCTATCCCAGCATGCTTTGCGTGCCGGCTGTGGATTTTCGACAGTAAGAGAAAATGGGGAGAGCTACAAAGTTTTAAACGTAAGTTTGTTAAAAACTAGCCGTAGAAACCTTAAAAGCTTAAAGCGGTTCTGTTTATAGACATTTTTGGTTTGTATATTTGTTTTTTAAATTACATTTTAGGCAGAAATCAGCCAGAATGAGTTTGTATTGCGGGTCCCGTGTGTGTGTGTGTGTGTGTGTGTGTGTGTGTGTGTGTGTGTGTGTGTGTGTGTGTGTGTGTGTGTGTGTGTGTGTGTGTGTGTGTGTGTGTGTGTGTGTGTGTGTGTGTGTGTGTGTGTGTGGCGAATTAAACTTGTCATTTGTTTTAAGGACAACGGAGCAAAGAAGCATTTTTATTAAGCTTAGAGGTGAAGAGTGCAGCTGTTTACACAACCACAGAAGTTCTGCTGTGAAAAGTAGTTTTACATTCAGGGATTTACACAGCCGACACGTTTTAATGAAGTAAAAATTGTTTGTGTGAAGAAAATAATTTTTATCTTCTCATGTGGATAAATGTAAAAATGTGTTTATTGCCTTTTTGTCACCTGTGGTCTCTGATTTTCTCTGTAGGACTGCAGGTATCCAGGGTCAGGAGAGGCTTTACCTGGTGGTCCTCCTGGGAGAGAGGCCTTCTACTGTCATCATGTTAATGTTATTTAGCTGCTTGATATTTGAACACATTTATTAAAACAAATACTAATAACTTTCTGGTCATTGATTTTATCACCAGTTTTATTATTACAGATGTTTTTGAACATGTTACATGAACAGAAGATGAAAAGATGGTAAGGAGACACGATTATTTATAATAGGTTACACTTATTTACAGATCAAAACCAGTATGGACCAGTTTTGTACGGTTAAAGCAGGATTAACCTGAGTGACTCTTCCTGGATCATTTATTTAAACTGAGTGAGCAGGAAGTCTTTAACAGTGCAGCTGGATCTGCTGCAGGAGGATCCAGACGTGGATGGAGGGCTGATGCAGACCTGTGGCTGGACGTTTCTGGCCAGAGGAACATCATACAGGACGGTCTGCAGAGAGAGCTTTGGGACGCTTCCTCTCACTGTCCACTCCATTGTCCATCTACAGGGCCTGCTGGGCTGTCTCAGATGACGGCTGTTACATCTCTAAGATGTATTCAGAAATATGAAATGAGGAGATGGTTTATGGATCCACTGGTATAACAATTGTGACTCTTCAGCAAATAAAACCACAGTGTTGTTATTAATAGAGGTTCCTACAGAAATGACTTGCCTGTTAACAGTAATGGTGGTTTGCTGGTACCTCCTCCAGGACAGAGCACCACTGGCCTCCTCCACACACATCTTCCTCAGGCTCATCCTCCAGACCCACAACTTCACCAGCACCGAGGCAGAAGTGCAGCACAGTGCATGCTGACCTGTAATTGATTAAAAAAGAGGATTTTTTAAATTGAAAAATGTAAAACAAAACATAACCTGCAGTACACTGGTTCTGTTCAGTTTAAAGAAAAGCAGCAGGGAAAACTACAGAGAATTTACATTTTTAAGACAGATCTAATCATTATTAAGCTTAAGTTGAATAAACAAATGCACATTGAAAACACTTCAATGCTATTGTATTAAAAAGCCTATTTTTTAAAATGTTTTACCCCCATTTGATGCGAAATAAGAAGTTCTAAGGTCCAATTTACATTAGAAAACATCCTACTGCATTCAACATTTATAATGCATTTGGTTTATATTAATTACCTACATGATAATACTCAGTAGTAATGTGTTGTGTGTGTTTAACCAGTTCATTCTGTAGCTTAAAACATACATTAAACCATCTAAAGTTAACATGTAAGTCCTGAAAGCTTCTATAATAAACAAAGTTACTTTACCTGACAACAGTTGTGAACAAACGCTGCTGATGGACATGAAGCTGCTGTAGCTCCTTAATATTCCTGCTCAATTTTCGCTAGCTTTAGCATTTTTCCTTTGCGTGTAGCTGCCGCCACGGCTGTGACAGGACCTACGGGTCACTGTAGAGGTGATGGCTAGACTGTCCGAATTCAGAGCCGCTGGGTTCCGGTCTTAGCGGGCTAGCAAGGACCCGGCCTTGCTAGCCCGGCGAGGACCCGTACTCATACGCATCCTGCCTGTGGATTCAGACACACCCAAAATGTCAAGCACATCAGACTCCCTTTCATCACTGGCAACAGGCCAAGAGGTAAACGTGTAAAACAGCATTTTTGAGTGGCGAAAGTTTAGTAACTGCTTGCTACCAATCAGTAAATGTATTTTGTCCTCATAGGCTCACATAGAAGGAAACATAGCATCTAATATGGGGTCCCCCAGAGACATAGGGTGTTTCTCAATGCCAAGGAACCTTGCCTTCATGCCTTGGCCCCGCCCTGGTTGCCTAGGAGATATGTCATTGGGAGCCGCCAAGACGTGTTCCAATGTTCATGTTCTACCGAGGCGTGTGTTCTCAGTTTGTTAGCCATTTAGCTAGCTGAGCAAAGATACATGGGAGGTGCCTTGTAGCCTAGTCTTGGTCAAAATTTACCCAGAATACATCGCGGTATTTTCAAAAAGACGGCAGGTCAGAAGCCGGCAGCTACTTCAGGGACAATTTTCAAGTTTAAAAGTAAGTCAACTTATTGAAAATGTTTATTTTAGATCCAAAGAAGTTATCTATGGTTGGTTAGTTGCTTAGTAGTTGTAGCTTCGGTGGCTAGCGGGTAGTAACTCAATTATAGTTTTAATTTAATAAAAATATACACAATTTAAAAAGTAAAAGGCTCGTTATATATTTATATTGAAACTAATACATATAAAATATAACATTGTCTCCCATGTCATGTGACGGTACATGATGGTCACGTGATGCGGTCACGTGATGCAAGTCTGTTCCATTTAACAGGGTTTTTTTTTTTTACCAAGGAAGGACAGTGTCCTCGTAAGCAAGGCGCCTGGCCTCGCAAGACATCGCCTCGCAAGGCCAGACGCCTTGACATTGAGAAACACCCTTAGACCCGCTCTCTTGTATTTTATACCCAATTTTTATGGTTTATGTTCAGAAGCTGCCAATATTTTTTAACAACTGTGCATCATTTAATTCACATTTTGATAGATACTTCCAGACATTCATGGTAAAAACTACACATTGTCACTGTAATGTGTTTTAAGGTGTCCTTATAGTTATATATGTTTTTATGTACGGCACTTTGTGTGGCGTTGTTGTAAATTTAAGGTGCAAATGTGCTGCGGTATGGCATTTAAATGAACTCTTACGCCGGGGACACACCAGCCGCGGAATCGCCGAGAAGCGCGAAGAAGCGAATCGCTCACGAAATTCGGCCACTGCTCGCCGCTCCTCAGTTCAGATCAGACGCGCCCCAGTCGAGGCTTGCAGTTTTTCTTTTAAACACTTGGTGTCCTCCATTTACTCTCTGCCTTTTCTCAGCTCTTTTCCTCTACGTTTGAGTGTGTGTGTGTGTGTGTGTGTGTGTGTGTGTGTGTGTGTGTGTGTGTTTGTGTGTGTGTGTGTGTGTGTGTGTGTGTGTGTGTGTGTGTGTGTGTGTGTGTGTGTGTGTGTGTGTGTGTGTGTGTGAACCTATGGTATGAGTTGTTTCTGCCAGTTGAATCTCTTGGAACCCGCTCCAATTCTGCAGCTGTATCCTAGCAGTTTCTTCCTAAATGTTTTTCGGGGGTCGTACAGCTCCTTGTGTTTCTCAACTTCCATAATTAATTTAAAGCCATCCATCTTAACTGCTTGCCTCAGACTTTCTGCCTCTCTGTCCTGTTTGCTCCGGTGAAAAGACTCCCAAAACCACACACCCCTTCACGTGGTCACACACGCACACAAGTTCGATGTGTGTTTATGTGTGTGCGTGTTCGTGTGGTTTTTCTGCAGTGTCTGATTACGAACACATTTGACTATTGCGGAATTTTATTTTGAAATGCTTTATTTTGTTAACTTTACCGGCCTGCCTCTTATGTCTAGGTTTGACTTCCTGCCAGAATTGACGCGGTTCACCTGCGGCTCGCGAAAAAAATAGAGCCGACGCCGAAATGATCGCTGCACGGCGCGGGCTGGAGCGCCGGTGCGCGCCGGCGCGAGGCGATTCGCGGCGCTTTGGCGGCCCATGTGGTCTATAGAATAGCTTAACAAGGGCGCCGAATGAAGGCGGTCCCATTTTCGCGGCGCTTCCGCGGCCAGTGTGTCCCTGGCGTTAGTGTGAGAATCTTATGTGGTTTCGTATTCATGCTAAAGTTAGAAATGTGCACAAAGCACACATTTTTCTAAAAGGACTCTGCATTTACTGCAATTCCAAATGAAACACTACATTTAGGGATGTCCAATATTATTGACCAAGTTTGACATTAAAATGTAATATCCAAAATTATCTGTATCGGTTTTTACTTTTTTAATTAAACAACTTTTACATACCATGACAGGATATATCGGATGGGAATATTTTCTAATATAGCTGAAATATTCCCACACAGGAGACTTCTACCGCTCCGTAGGCGGAAATGGAGCAGTTCCGATGGTTGTTGTCACTGGTTCTGTTTCTGCTGCATGCGCAGGTTCAGTTTCACTTTTGGTTTTGTCTGTGCTGGTCACGCTATTGTCTTTTTGTTTTTTATAGGCATGTTGGAGACGTTTTTACGGGAAGTTAACAGCGGTTAATAGTCAGACTGGTTAATACCAGAAACCCTAGTTTAGACTATAATGGATATTGGCAAAATACTCAATATCCCTTGCTGAATTATATACACAGTAATCATTTTGGTTATTTTTATACTATTTTGTTATGAGGTTGCATTTATTGCATCTATTGCTGTCAGCAGATGGCAGTAGTACCACTATTGTCATGTACAGACAGAAGAAAAGTGAAAGATTTACCGTAATGTGTCTGTTTTACATAATTATTTAGAGAAGGTTGTGGGATTAAATTGCCAATTACGCATCAGAGTAAAAGTTAGATGAAGTTGTGTGTTTTGCATGAAAGTCCTTCAGGTTTTTTGGCGCATTGATCGGTTTGTAGGACATTCAACGGCATCTTTTGGATCTGATCCCTAGGGCTGTGGCATTCTGAAGATGGTGTTGCCACTCAACCAGCAGGATTTCTAATTTCTCTTTTGATCAGCTCAGTAAAAAAGATCCTTTTAACCATCTTTGAATTAGCTTCTGCTTTCACAACAACTGTTGTACCACCTACCATGAGTAGGAGGAAGTGTCAAGCTGAGGTAAAACATGCAACTGAGAGGGAACACAATCGCTAATCAGCTGATGCTGTGTACATGTAACAGGATTTTATTTAGGTAGAAAACAAAATTAACTTTTTTTTCTCTACGTTTAAATACAGCTCATTTTTTCAGTAGAAGAGAGGACTTTGATCTGCTAAAATATTCAGTGTTGCAGCGAAACAGTGGATGAGCTGGATGCTAATAGGCAGATCGTCTGCTTTTATTTGTTATACAGAAGTGTTGCAACTCTATATTTTGGAGTAAATACTGGTTAAAATAACAATAGTTTTCATAATTTTTATCAAACCAATTCATATTTCTTAATTCTAAATTCGTTCTGTTTGTCCAATTATTACAGGATAACAAAATCAAATCTTGAGAAAATATTAAAATAGAATAAATAAAGAAGCCACTCAGAAGTTCAGGAAGTCAGACCTCCCTGTTGGAGAAGACATACTGTCCTCTGGTCAGCTCTCACTTTGTAATTGAAGTGTTTTTCGAGAGGAACCGTGCCTTTCCTGTGAAGTTGATGAACAGAGGGAGGCAACAGGGCCAGAGACCAAAAACTGTGATTAAGACATCAGTCTGAGCAGAAAGTCACAAAAGCCCTCATCTCCTCCAGGATCTGATGTTATAGGCAGAATAAATATGTTTTATTTAAAGTTTTTCTGTTCATAACATGGGTCTGAAATCTATATATGACCTCAGTAATATATGAACACAGCTCTACTCTGGAAATGCTTTACTGAAATGGCAAGTCGTGGGTCTCCTTTGAAATAACCTAAACACTCGACAAACCTTTTCTTTGGAGGTTTCTTTCATCTTGGAAAAGGCAAAACCACATTTTCTGGTCTGTAGAGATTTTCCTCAAGGTTGAGGTGTTTTTATGGTGTGATCCGGCGGGTCATCCAGTTGGCTGTAATATTTCCAGAAAGAGACTACTGACAATTCTCGTTTTGTCATTTCCTGCTTTTGTCTGCCTTGGGTTCTCAGCTGTATATTTTTCCATGATTACTGAATTAGACATAGAACTGGAAAGATTATTCTGTTAATGGATCCAAAGTAGTTTCTCCTTTTAGAATGATTGACATTTTTTAAATGCCACTTAGATTTTTCTGTGTTCTTACTCGGAGTCTTGACATGTTTCCTGCCCCGCATAGTTTGTAATTTTACATAATGAACTGTAAGACTTATAGACGTGTGTGCTTTCTTAAACCTTTGATGTGTGATCTAAACAAATGCTTCTCAAATACCTTGGGTGGAATAAGATGGGTTCTGCAAACACAACAAAAGACTGTTGTTTGTTTATGTAAATGAAATACCTGACTTTTAATGTTTTGCTAAATTAGCAATGTGCTCCAAAAATATGTTTTTGCTTTGCTGTGAAATGAGTCTAATTTGATAACACTGTTGTAATGGATTTAAGATGAAATCTTGAAAACCTTACAAGGTTTCATTCATTGAGAAATTGTGTAATACTTTTTTAATACAATCAGTCGCTCTGAGTTGCAAATGCATGCTGAATGTTGACTCTTTCTTCAACCCCTTTCACCTGCGTTAGCTGCAGAAAGAGACGAGAAAACGGGTGGGCAAGAAAACGCCAGTCTACGCCACAGGAAAAATTAGTAATAATAACAATAATAAACTTTATTTATAAGTGCATTTCAAGACTCTCAAGGTCGCTGAACACAAAATGTAAACATAAGTACCACAGTTTAAAAATGATGTAAACAAATCAATTCTGGGATGAAAATGAAGCCAACAGGGATGGGGCCAAATTGCAGTTCCATCCTCATCCTCTAGGGGCTGGCACCAGACGAGAGCAAATCCTCATTTACTCCCTTATTAAAAAGGCCAATTTCACAGCAGAAATAAACATGTTTACAGCCTGGTTCAAACAACCATTAATAGATCTAGTTTACATTAATGGCAACTCTGAGGGGTGGGGGGGTGAGTGTTTTTGCCACTCTTCTGTTTAAGTGGAATTAAACGCATACAATTCAGAATAATTAATGAGCATTAGAGCCACATGAGCTAGCTCTGGGGAAAGGTCTCAGCCTGAGCCTCGGTCTAGTGTTGATAGGTGTTCGGCCATTTCGACTCTCTGAACTTCAGTTGTGTCTGTGTATTTGTGTTTGTGTTTGGATGTTAATCATGGAATTATTTGGACACAAAGGGCAAGCTGTGGTTATTGACTGTGCTAACAGATCATCCAAGCAGTTTCTGCTTCTTTTTATCATTAAGTAAAATTATATTTCTGTACTTTATTTAGCTGATTGAGTGGGGGAAGTGCTGTGTCATGTAACGTCTTGGTCAAACATGTTAGTGGGGCTGCTTGAGCGGGTGCTGCTACTGTCTCCTGCTGGGGAACGGCAGGCGGCTGGCTGTTCCCGTTTCTCGGGGCAGCCGGGACTCGCGGACTCGGATTCGAGGCTGTAGTCATGCAGGACATGTGGATCTCTGAGGGAGACCACAGAAACACCACAGCTCTTTTAATTGGCACTGCTTCAATTTTGAGTAGCTCAGCTGCATTTTTCTCGCTGATTGTTTGCTGGTTGAATGAGGGAAAATTCTATACGTTTATCATAACACAGCTTGGTCCTTCAAGTGGATGCTCCCTGAGACGGGACCATCGACAACAGCGGACTCGCATATCTTTGACCGCGGTGGAGCAGCGAAGCCCGACGTCAGCTTACTTAATTAGGATTTAGTTACTAAGCAGGCTGAAGGTGCCTTCATTCAAGAGTTGCTCTACCACATTTTTCTTGCTTAAAAACGCCCAGAAAAGCTGTTATCTGTGGGTTAGCATGTAGCTAATGTCCCACTGATCTCTGACCGTGGAGCATGAGTTTTTGTAAAAAGCCACTGTGCCCAGCTACAATCGCAGCAGTCTGAGGCTCAGCTTGTAATTCAGCAGTCCCAGTCCATCTTGTCTTGGCGCTGCGGTATTAGCTCACAGGAGACACACGCCCCACAACCCTTCACGCACTAATGGTAAACAGTAGTTACGTCCCTCCTTTCTTTGTTTTGAAAGGAGAAAAACTGGCAATCCCCGCTGCCAGCTGGATATGAAAGATGTTTCAGTATAGCCTTCCTTCCACAGTGACTGAAACTTCAGACTCCTTTGGGATTTTCTCACTGTAGAAGTCTCAAAATATCCTTACATACTGCACCTTTAACAAGAACAGAGGCAATATTCTGGTCGACCATTACATCAACTCTCACACAAGCCCAGGAGGGGTATAATGTTGTAATACGTATGGGGCTCTGACACACGAGGGTGAATTTCAAGCTGGTGACTGATTGGCCAGCTGGACACTGTCAGGTAATGACACCAACATCTTGGCAAGCAGGTGCTCTGTGCCAAAATCTCCATTATCTACTGTAAGGTCATTGCCATACCATCAGTCATTTATTCAGCATAGTGGAAATTAATTCTCAGAAACCGGCTGACACGGCCCCAGACAACCTCAATCTTGAAGTCCTTGTATTTGATGAAGAGCATATCTGGTTTCAGGGAAATAACTGACAGCATCAACTCTTGGTTGTTCAATATAGTTTGTGTTGCAGAGTATTGATGCTGAATTAATCTCAGTCAATTTAATCATATATTAACTGTATTTATGTTATTAACTGCTGCAATAGCCAGTATGCCCACGCTCAGTTTGATGGAGTCACTAAGGCTGAGTGTAACTAAAAGAACCAAAGATAGTTGTTCTGGCTAATTAATTTTCTAGTGAAACAACTTTTGCCAGAAGGAAGCATTCTCCATATCAATAAACCTAACCACAGGTTTTGGTTTGGACCCAGTAGCTCAGTCCACTAAAAGCACCCTATGGTTCTGGGCTCCGCTCTATTGTCTTGATCGTTTGTACATATGTGTGATGCGTGTCTGAGACATCCCTTTTGACAGCTGAAGCAAAATTTTGTCAATGATCCATTGCCCACTTCTAACCCTGGAAGAAATATTGACTCAGAGTGATGAAAATTTTTAATACACAGGAGTATTTTCACACTATAGACAGCAGTCTGTTTCCTAGCAACTTGCCAGTTTCCACAGAGTTGTTTTTAGAGAGCTTCAGGGGAGAAGATGGTCACAATGTTATGCTTTGCCTCTGAGATGTCAGGTGCCCAAGCAATTTTCAACATGAGGCTTCCTGAAGCCCAGCAGAAATTAATAGTAATTTTCTTCGCAGCAAGAGAATCATTATCAATTTGCATGACAATAGAAAATGTCAGTCAAACTGTTTTCTCCTAAAGAGAAAGTTCCCATCTTGTTATCTACTGACAACTGTTGCTTTTGACAGAAATGTTCCTTTTAAAAAGGAATAACTCACCGCTTTTAGAGTCCATTTAAATCTGTGATCAAGATGGATTTCTGTAAGGTCTAATTCAAATCTACTGATTTCGAAATTATGCTTTATGTGAACTACAGAGAAAATCTTGAGGCACCAATAAAATTTTCAACTCTGTTTTGACAATATAGAAAGATGTTTTTTCTTTAGTCCAAAAAACAAAACAACATGTCAGATAATCTATAGTCGGCCGTTATTTTTCCAGCTTTGTCAGAAATGCAAAACAAGGTAGATGCGACTAACCCACGTAGATTCCACCATTTGATACAGTTGAGAAACTGATTTTATTGCATCTGGTTTCTAATAAAACATGGTTATACTTTTAAACTAACGTGTATTTATTTGTGTTTCTATATTTATCGTTACAAACTCATCATTTTATGGTAACGTAAACGGGGCAAAATATAATGCAATCATTTGTGTGACAGTTATGTTTCAGTTAAGACTTTACATTAACAATATGTTAAAGTGGCACTAGGGGGCAGTACATACCATATCACTGTGACTGTTGCTAGTTTAAAAAACATTACGGTAAATTTTGTTACCTGTGGAGCAGAAAGCATGCAGCCTCGGCGTGACTCCTCTGACTTTGATGGTCCTCCAGGTAATTACATCAAGAGAATGCATTGCTGATACAAGTTTTCTTGTGCTGTAGTTTCCGGATCTGTTTGTGGTCCTGCACCATGCCGATGACGTCATCACCACTACTACTACTACGGCAATACCACTCAGCCAAAATATGTTGCATCTCTTTTTCGATTCTGTTCTTTTAGAACAGTTTTGTTATTGATATCATGTTTCTTACTACCTAAATATTTTCAAACATGGTAATGTAATTCCGTAAGGCATACATCCAGCCAACCCTTAGGACCCCAAGCCGGCCAGAAAGAAACATAGCGTCTAATATGGCGTCCCCCCCCCCCCCCCCCCCCAAAGATCCTAGACTCGCACCCAATCTACTTTAGACCCGATTTTTATGGTTATATGTTATGGAGCCGCCAATATTTTTCAATGACTTGGAATCATTTTATTAATGTAGCAACATTTTGATGGATATTTCCAGAGATTGAAGGTAAAACCACACATTGCCACTTTAAAGCATGCAGATGTTTGATTCTAAAGCTTGGTTTATGCTTGACGCGTCCGCGAGGTTCGCACGGCTCCACGAGGCAAAATTGTGTCATTTTAACAACCACGCCCCTCCACTGCGCCTCTGCACGGCCCAAAGTTTCCGCACCTTGCACCTAGGAAATTTTGTAACCACGCGGACGGTCGGACGCGGAAAAACATGGCGGACTGGCAAGAACTAGTATGGCAGAGGTTTGTAAATACAGACAGTTGTATGATTCAGCTCTCAGAGATCACCGTGATCAACATGTTGTTAATAATTCTTGGAGAGAAATAGCTCGCACTGTCGGAAAAGACGAGGGTTCTGTTAAAAATGCTGGAATGTCATGTTGTAAACAACAGTAATTTCTACTTCTACTATGGTGTAGTGTTGGATGTATGCCGTAGAGCTCCATGCTGCCCCGTTCAGTTTGGGAGAATATTGGCTCACCGCAGAGACAAGCCTCATGAACCATAAACGCTGCGAGTTGTGAAGCGCGTTCCATCCGCGAGCCGCATCACCAAGCGGAAAGTAAATGTGTCAAGCTTCAACCAAGCTTAAGGCATTTACATCAAGCCCATCTAGTGCTCATTATTTTTAACATCCGTATAAATTTTGTCAAACAAGACATTTTGGACATTGCTATTCATTTTACCATCTTAATAAAACTGCTGCCACAGTCAGAAGAAAAACAAAGGATTTAGGAAAATAAGTAGCTGCAAATGCTGCTAATCGAATAGAGTTCAATAACCCAAGGCAACTCTTAGGTGAGCAAAGATTTTAGTAGTTTGATGAGCTAGGATTCATAATACCAGTGAGATATGTCAACTATAATAAGCATAAAGCATTGAGGTAGCTGACCTTCTTTGCTAAATGATCAAAATCATGCAGTGACTGAGTCTACTAGTTAGAGCCAAATGTGAGGCCTAATTTAAAGTTTGGCTAAAAATTCAGTCATGCCACAGGAAAAGATTACAAGCATTGCAGCAAATGTCCAACAAGACCTTTGAAAGAAGTTAACGCAAGGGACAGCAGAAGGTTAGGACGTAGAGTGGGTTGTCCAGTAGTTGGAAGGTTGCAGGTTTGATCCCAGTCTCTGACCAGAGAATGCTTCTGTTGTGTCCTTGGGCAAGGCACTTAAAGAGCAAGTAACACCTAAATTAACTTTTTTTTTTTTTTTTGCTGATAACCAGTATAGACGAGTGTCTAATGATGCTGTACACATGTGTAATCATTAGTGTGGCAGTTTAGTGCAACTTACTTTAAATTTAATTATCAGCCCAAAACCGTAATTATATCTCCCTCTTCAGGTTAAAACTCTGCTCCACATTTATGTAGAACCAGCTGTGGCTGATGGCTAAGCTGAAAAGCGTGACGTTGTCAGCAAAGTACTACATGTTTGCACTGCACTGATCTCCAGGTGAGGCAGTCACACCTCCACCTGGCTCAGCCAATCACCTGCCGATCTGACACATCAGCGCTCTGAGCCGCTCGCCTCCTTGAAAAAAATGCCCTCCTCCCCTTTTCATCTAATGATCGCGTTTAACAGCAAATCCTCCAGAATGCTGCAGAATCTTTGTCTGATGTTCTCCTGAGTAGTAAGTCTTGTGTGAGTGTGTGCTTATGTGCACGGGCTTGCTTTCAACTCGTTTATAGATTGATAAACTCCGACAGCACACGTGGGGCGGTTGAAGGCGGTGCTGTCTATCACTGCCTCAGTGCCGCTCTCTCGGTCCGCCAGGCGACGCCTCTTTCAGAAGTGTTTTCCTAACAGGAAGTGTGGATGAAATATGACTCTACCGATGCATTGACCCTCACTTTAACCTGCCTTGCCTGCTGGTGGAGGGACAGGTGGCGCCTGTGTTCGGCAGCCTGCCTCTGTCAGTGCGCCCCAGGGCAGCTGTGGCTACATCATAGCTCATCATCACCAGCGTGTGAATGTGTGAATGACTGATTGTGTTGTGAAGCACCTTGGGGGGCTGTAGAACCCTAAGAAGGTGCTATACAAATACAGGTCGATTACATTTACCATAAATGTTTAAATGACCCAACCAGACTCCAGACATCAGTTCACTTCAGTAGATTTAATAACAAGTGTCCACAACAGTCCACCACAGTAATATTAAGGCACGTGGTTAAGTACTTCACAATAAAATACAGAACAAAAAGAGGGTTATGTTTATTGGCTCAGATTTATTAAACTAATTATGTGATGTTTGTGTACTTTAAATATAAAATCTGTTGAATTGACTTAGTTTAAAGACCAGGTGTTGACCTTTTTTCCTGTAGAAGTGTATTCCTAGATATGGTAGCTCTAACTTTTTTCAATGATTGCATGTTCCTTTAGATGTTATTTCATTTTCTCATAATCCCAACAGTGTTGGGAAAACAAGACCTTCATTTTAGAAATATGTGGCTGTCTCCCTCCCTTTTCCTCCTGCTGTGATCAGAGGTTTTTGGTGAGGTCAAACCATGGTAGTTATTGCTTTGTATGTTGGTGTGTGTGTGTGTGTGTGTGTGTGTGTGTGTGTGTGTGTGTGTGTGTGTGTGTGTGTGTGTGTCTGTGTGTGTCTAGAGGTTTTGAGTACTGCACAAATGGATTCTTCACTTGAGAAGAGATGCTTTCTGTGAACTTTCATGACCAGCACTAAAATGAGAAGCCAGATATTTTAAAAATATTTTCACTGAAGGAACATCAGCATCCTCAGAGGACACTCGAATAAAAGTGCTTTAGTGCGTTTTATATCGAGACACAGCAGAAGCGCGCTGAGTTGGTACCAGAGATCTTTCAGCAGGAACACTATGTGCTTGTACACGTGGACGTGGAGATAAAAGATATACATAATTCATCGTGCTACATGGGGCAGTACTCTAACCCCGGTATCATGAGTCAAGGTGAAATTACCTTCACTCGCACGCTGCCTTGTGCTTTTATCAAACAACCGTAATGATTCCAAGATGAGGCTGGTCAGTTTTGTACATGATAATATATTTAGGCAGACCACTGTTGTGAACCATCTGTAGGTCTCCCTCTGAGCCCGGTGGTTCAGTCAAGCAGCTGGAGAGCTACAGATGGCTGAGGGAAAGGGTGGAAGGAGTGGAGTCAGGGGACCAGAGAAAGACGTTTTATCTGTTGATCCTGGGACTTAAAAGGTTCTCATCCATATAATCATTGTTGTAAATTAAATAGGCCAGTTATTGATGTATTTTTTTTATAAATTCAGCCCTCTGGTGGGACAAGCTTTTGGCTCTAATAGATCAAATCTGAACTTCGGTGAAATATTACTGTGGACCTTGATGTCATGTAGCGTCATCAGTGTGACTTCAGTGCTTGTGGGGTCCAAGTCGGTGTGAAGAGCTGTGTTCGAAACAGTGTGATAGGAGCAACTCAGCGGGGTCAGAGTTAATGCTCCAGATGGCTCTCAAATAAAGCCAGACAGCACATTTGGTCCTCACTTCATATTCCTGGCTTTCCTTTCTTGCTTTTTTCTGTTAAACTTAATCAGAAATGTCCTCACATTTTTGTCAACACTTTTATGGAAAGTGTGCAATGAGTCATTGACATGGAACCAGAGGTGAGGTGTTTATTAATTTTCTTCCTACAAAAACAATCAGATTGTTGATGACAAAGTCAGACATTGCCTGTTGCAGATCATTGGCACTTTCCTCTTTTTGAGGTCATCAGCATTTCTCCTGCCTGCCAATATTCATTCACACAGATAAAGGTGAATGAGTCAGCTCAAGACTTAGTGTTCCTCCTGCTTCCAGCAGTCGGATCAATAGCTGTATCAGCTTTCTCAAAAACACGAGCGTTGGCTCACAGGTGATGCATTAAGTCAAGAATACTACTCTTAATTTTTGTACATTTTGGGGATTTTATTAGAGTTTATGTCAACCTTTGAATGTTTGGGCTTTTGTTGGATATCTGGCTTTACTTTTTGTTTAATTGCAATTGAGGGTTTCTAGAACAACTTGTTTTCATTTAACCCTTTATGTAGCATATATGGAACTTTGCTGGGGCTCAAAATGGCCCAACAAAGACTCAAACACAACCCCATAGTAAAGTCCTACCATGAAAAGACTAGTTTAATCCCACTCAGTTAGCCAGTACGTGAATATTAAATGAGCTGCATGCTGATTGGCTGGTTTACGCAGATGTCATAATGAAAACTCTACTCGGATAACATTTGGGAAGCTGTGGATCTATCTGGCATTCAACAGCGCATGATTGAACCACAACATTAGCAGTAGCTTAGGCCAGCATTAGCATTAGCGGTATCTTTGGCTAGTGTTAGCGGTAGCTCATGCTAGTGTTGCTCTGCAATTAGCATAACTGCATCCAACATCTATATATTGCTGACTAGGGCTGCGCAATATTAGGAAAACCTACGATATTCGATAACAGTGATTAATATTGTGATGACGATATTACTCGCGATAAACAAAAACTTAACTCGGGAACAAAAATAATCAAAAACAAAGAAATAAAAAAAAATCATAAACATGAGAAAAGCTAAATATGTGAGGAAAGGGAAAAGAAAATGAACAAGAAAAGGCCATCAGTGGATCCCGGGAAAAGCAGAATCAGCAGAAAGAGCAGAACTAAGCTAACTCAGGTGTTTGCTAACCATCAAAATTAGGTGCCACCCGCCTCGGGGGGCGGGACTCTGACCTATGAGAACCCACCCACTTGGCCAAATGGGTGAAGAGCTCTGTTTGATGTGTTAAAAAAACATCATGCTTCCGTTTAACTGACAGCATGCATCATGTGTAGCAAACATTTGAGCTGACCATTCATTACGATATTTATCTGATCTTTGCGATATGCATATTGTGCATGCTGATATCGCGATAACGATATATTTACGATATATTGTGCAGCCCTATTGCTGACGTTAAATTGGATTGGGTCAAGCAAATATAAGGGGCTGTGTCTAAGCTTACGTCATGTTTCTCAGACCAAACGAGTTCTCCGTGGCCATTACAGCATTACTAATTCACGTGGGAAAGCAGGTTGGAGGTAACTTTTAACCCTGGTAAATTAGAAACCCCAAGCTTCCTTCAAAATTTTTAAATGCTGTTTTGAATTCTAGGACCCCATTAAAATGCATCACCCTCCACTGGATTTCTGCAATTCACATAGACACAGAGCTTTTTATACTGTCACATATTGAACAATAAGCTAATCCAAATTAAATGAGAATTCTATATCATAATTTGCATTAATCTACAGATATTTTAAAACCAGTGTATAAAAAGATTTCTTTCTTATTACCTTTTTAGAAAATAGTTTTTAAATAGTGTGCAAAACAGACGTGCACCACCGTCTGCTCAGCTGCAACGAGCTGAGAGTATTTTTAATGGTGACTCTTTTAGACAAACATGACAACACCATTTCTAAATAAATGTAGCTAATTCCTCTGCATCTCTTTCTGTTGTACATAAAATATCGGCTCAATTATGTACTATTTTTGCTTAGATTATTCTGCTTCATTGTGATGTTGGTTAGTGATTATGGCTTAAAACATTCTCTAAAACACACACACACACACACACACACACACACTCGGAGAACATTTGTGTTGCAAGGCAGGCAGATTTCTGAGCATCTTTGGGAACTTGACACAGTTCCTGTGTGAATTTAGTAGATCACTCGCATCTGTTGTTTCCCAAACAGACGTCATGAGACTGGCCCTTTTTGTAACTCAGAATAGTTCTTTATTGCAGATTCAATGTTCCGGATCCTCACAGAAGCTTTTTGTCCTTTATAACTTTTGTCATAAAGACATCTTATGTTCTCAGAGGATGTATAAAATAGTCATTAGAGCTTTACGGCAACACATTTTGATAAATGTAGTCCAGAACTTTGTATAAACTCATTGTGTTCTCAAAAAATCTAAACTAAAGCTTCTTGATACATTTTGTTACCGTAGTTCTTGTAAAATAACACATGCTTTGTGTGAAAATTTTTGAATATTTAATTTAAAATAGAACATTTCTTATTCTGTTTTCATGTTAAAAATATTTTTCCTCATGAATAAATTATAAAATATCATTATTCGCTGATGGTGTAATAGCTAAATGTATTGCTACTATGCACTGCACCATTTATTTTCTACCTTTACGTAAAAAATATTTCAGAACCTCATAAGTTTCTGTGTCTAACATACAATTAAGACAAGACGGCTTTATTTAAATAGCACTTTTCCTACACAGAGGCAAGAACAGACAAACACACACAAAAATGAACAATGGCATTACTCTGAAGACTAAAACTAGAAAACTAACAAAATATCAGTACAACACTGAGTAGTGAAAATGACTGAGTAGTGAAAATGTGAATATAGTATATTTGTAGTAATGTAGTGTGTGAAAACACTGATTAAACTAAAAGTGTAAGGTGAGTAAAACTAAGGTAAAACTACAAAATACATTGAGGACTAAAACTAGAAAACTAACAGGATATCAGTGAGACATTGTAGAAGACTAAGAGTGGCTGGAGACTAGTGGTGGTTTAATTAGGTAAGAAGGCTAACCCGGAATTACAATGAACAACAAAAAATCAACTGGGAATGACCAGTATGGCCTTAAGTCTATTTACAATCTGAACTATGTTCACTAACGATATTTATCGTAATACGTTTTCTGTCTAAAATGTTTTTTTTGAACATTCTCACACTCGTTGCAGCAGAATGAAGACTCAAAAATATAGAATGCAGAACATTTAATGTGGAAAAAGGTGCATTAAGATTTTCGAAACAATGTTTTGCAAAAATTCTCATCACATGAATAAAGATGAAAATTATTTAATTTAAATACAAGCTAAATGATGTGAAAACGTGACATTCAAAAAAGTTTGAAATGAACAATCTAAAAACACAATAACATCACTTCCTGGTTACTGATTCGTTTTTCATGTTTTTCATTCGCTCATAAGTTACTGTAAGTGTTGCTTCAGTTGTGAATAACTGTAGAAAATTTGTAAGTCTGTGTGGTAATAACACGCTAAAAATTACTAGCATTAAAGGGAAATTGTGTTCCTACACTTAATGTAACACTAAGTAGTTTCCAGCTCCTCTGCCCTACTGGTGGAAAGTGGAATTAAAACTGTCGTAAACAACTCTGCTACAGCCCGCTGTAGCTAACAACTAGCTAAAACTTACATGGGCCAACTAATGCTAAAATAAACCATGATGCTATAAACCACACTGTTGGACATAATAAATTATTACTAAGAAGTCCAGTAGCAACAAAGCCAGGTCACCACCGGTCTGTGATTTTGTAGCCTCCTTTAGCTCCCTCAATCATGTGTAGGCCGTGCTGATGTTCATTCTGGTTTTAGCTCTTTGCTTCTCCTCCAAAGACATTACTCTCTTACTTTTATGTCCAGGCTCCATGATGATGCAGACAAAAATAAAACTTCTTCTTTTTCTTCTTCCTGTGCTTTTTAGTGATCGTTAAACTCAAAAAGCTAACTGCTAGTATAACAGCTAACAGCCGTAAATCAGGGAAAGAGCTCCCCCTATAGATCACCTATCCACTTCACAAAACTGTTAATTACAGTACCTGGCCAGTAGAGGGCAGCAGAGTGGTGTCAAATATGAAACTGGTCAAGATTCTAACTCAACAATCACTGAGATCAATGTTAAAGCTCTAGCTTAAAGTTAAAAAAACTACCTACTACTTACTTTAACACAGATAATACTTTATACTCTCCCGACATACTTTACAACTCCTTAATCCAAACCACGTTGGTATAAAAGACATCACCCCTACTTTTCAAGCTCTTTCTTTATCTCCCGGTCCCACCTTGCAGCAGCAGCCGATGTAGTCGTGCACATTAACCACAACTTGGCGGCGTTCATCAACTTGCGCAATAGCGATAGGCCGGTAGAGTCAAATTCTTAACCGCTGGCTACATTTCTATACTTTTTTCCATATAGCATGTATCTCGCCCATTACTGCAGTAATCTCTCTTCAGAGTTTGTTATTGTTTAAGCCTTTTAAAAATTGTTTTTGGTGCATAAAAATGTGCATGTTTGATGGAAGGCTTTATTATGCTTTACACTGTTTCAGTGTCCTTTTATTGCTTCAGCCATATTTACATAGACGGAGACATGATTTTGCTCTCCTCAGACTACTGCTTGTCTTTTATGGTTAGAATAACAAAATTTCCCGAGGCGCTACTCCATGTAGTAACGGCAGCCTGATATTTTTTTACACTTAAGTGAGTTCAGACACCTTTATAACACAGATATGTCCATTGTGTTGTATTGGATGTGCCACATTTTATTTAGCTCCTGCTGTTTGTGCTTCATTTATTCATTTATTTCTCTGTAAGACCAAAGAGAAGCTATCTGTGTTAAACTTCGTTTTTTTATTTTAGCATTTTTTTTTTACCTGAAAAGCATAAAGATGTTGAAATGTTTTGTTTTCGTGTTACTTTGTAGCTTCAAAGCCTTCCGTATAGTTTTAAGGACTAGGAAATGAAATGTTGGTGTTCTCCGTGCATTTCAGATCAGTGCATTGTGACGAGAACGTATCTCTTTCTGCACAAGTTCTGGTTCTTCAGCACCATCTACTACTTTGGTAACTGGGTCTTTATTGGGGTAAGTAAAAAAAAAATGGTAATAAATGTTTTTAAATGAGCAAGTTTTCGAATTTTCTCTCAACAGAGTTTGTGGGAAAGTTTGTTAAAGTCTTAATATAAAACTTTTATTTCAGAAGTTTTTCAAGGACTCCTTTTTCTGTTATGGGAAGAGTGGCAAAGCAGAAATGCTTGATTTAATTTGTACACTGGTGGAAAATAGTTTTCCCAAGACTCAACTTGCTGCTTATCTTCTCAGGAAGTAATGTTAAATAGCCTCTTTCCTCCGAGGTTTCACCAGAGTTCATTCGTCAAAAGCTCTTTGTGAAATATCTGCTAATGTGTGCTTTACTTATTGTTTCTGCTGCAGACTTTTCTCATTGGTCTGGTGGTGTCGTGCTGCAGAGGGAAGAAGTCTGTGATCGAAGGAGAGGTGGAGGCCGATGACTCAGACTTAAGCGATGATGAATATGTGCACTGAAAAAAAGGAGGGAAAAAACACTCCTGTAGATGTTAAGGTCATAACTTAAAGGGTCTAGAAAGTGCAATTTCTGTAACAGATTAAGTGATTTGTTTTAATTTCATGTATTGGTTTAAAGGAGGTATGCATCCTGATCTCTTAGAGTCCAGCCCTTTTTTGCATCCCTCTGTTTTTGCGACGGCTCAGATCAGTCGTTGTCTTCCTCACTCGATGTTATTCATGACTTGGGGATTCTGGGACTGTCCTTTCAACCCAATTCCATCCTGAGAATTCAAATTTCATCTATCTGACACAAATCAGTTACTTATCAGAGGAAAAACTGCTCTAAAATCTCATCTGAAGTACTTTCTAGACCCCTTTAAATGGTCTTCTGATTAGCTTCAGAATACATTTAATTACAATACACTACATCTGGGATGCTGCTTCTCATAAAGAATACTGATTTCAAATTGTTGGAACACTTTGAAGTATTTCTTTCTAGGCTGCATATAGTTTGAATGGATTAGGTTCACTGTTTTCTTTAAAATCTAGTAATTTGTATTTCCAGCCTATTATTTAAACCCGTTTCACCTGCTTTCTGTGTAAAAGTTAACGGACCAAGTGCGTCTGAAGCCTTTTCAGGGTTTCTACAGTGTTTTTAATTTCCTGACTGCAGCGGTGGGTGGCACTCGCTGTTGCGAGGAAAGACAGAAGCGGAGAAGCAGGAATAATTAAAGATGTGAGTTTCTCTTTTGATTAAAAGAAAAGATACTTCTCACGTTTGCCATGGCTGTAAAGTTGACCAGCTGCATTTCGTTTGACTTAGACCTATTAATGACTTCTTCTTCTGGCTATGAAGACATTTATTTTTCCGCATGTATGTCGAGCAGAAATAAAGTGGTGATTTAATTTGGACACCAGATGTTTGTGCCTCATGAATGTAATTACTATGATGGGCACTTACACCTGTATTTATGCAGAAATCAGCCTAAATCTCATGAGCTTTGCTTTTTCCACTCATTGAAGTGGTTGTGGTTGAGGGAGTTGTGTTCATATTTACTGTATTTAAAGGAATAAAACATTCAGACATATGTATCTGTATTCATTTCTTTCATCCGCGTTTCAGAGCAGAGTTTATTTCTGAGCATCAGGAATCAGGCTTACCAGACACACCTTGCCACCCCGTTTTCCTTCAGAGCTGCCTTTTCATGTCATAGAATCAACAAGGTTTTGTAAACATTTTTCAGAAGTTCTGGTTCATATTGGCAAGACAACATCATCACCATCCATGGTGAGAATCTCCTGTTCTACCACATCCCAAAGGTGCTGGACTGGCTGCCTGTGGATACCGCTGATGTAAAGGTCAGAATTCGATATAACGCCTTCTAGGGTTCTACGACCCGCCAAGAAACTTCACAAAACAAGCAGACACACACATTTACACAATGTGCCCTGGGGCGCACTGACGAAAGCGAGGCCACCGAGCACTAGCACCACGGTCCCTCCAACCACAGCCAACAGACAAGGCGGGAACTGTAGCTGAAAAAGTAGCTTTGTTTCTGGAGCCTGTTATTAAGAGACAACAACGCTATTTTCTGGTGAAAAAGCCTTCCCCAGTTGTCACGACCAGCGCCAAAGTAGCCGTGTGCCGGAGCCACAAGCTCATCGAAGCAGGTTTTCAGTAGTCTGAGGTTGAAGCCAGAAAAGGTGATCATGCTGATTATTTAGGTGAAAAATATTTTGATAAGCTGCATTTTTTAAAAGTTGTTAATATTATATGTTGTTATTGTTTTAGTTGTAGTGTTTGGTCCAAACAAACAGCTTGGTAATGCCACTTCAGGCTTACGTCATGTTTAAATTAGTCCCGGTAATACCGTTTACTTTGGTAAAATGTGGAGGAAGCTAGATGGTTTTAAAATATAGATACCGCCCAAGCATACTATGTATGTAAATATAAAGTCTGACCACAACCCATGGACCAAGCCAAGCATGGTCGTAGCAGAGAATCTACAATTGTCATTCAAACCGTCTCTATTGGACAACGAACAATAGACAAACTCACTGCAAGGGATGTCATGGGGCAGTCCACTATACACTGCTGAATCAACAAATACACTTTTGCTCTGCAGGTTGGTTTAGATTTCTAGGTTATGGGTCCCCTAGAGGGCCAACAAACTTTGAAGTTGTGAGACAGTGTTGACACACTCACTGATAGTGCTCTGTCTCCCTTCTGACTAAGCTATAGACCTTAAGTCAACACCCCATCCCCACAGCATTTTCCTGGTCTGCACCAGACTGCAGATCTCTTTGCTGGAGGCCTCACGGCGACCGTGCAGCACTGCTGGATGGACAGAGTCGGCAACAATATTCAGGTGTGACATGAAAATATTTCCCACATCATCACACCACCAGCAGCATTCTGGAGAGATTGGTTATTCAAATGCAGCTGAAACAGACTCGGATCAAGAAACATTTTTTTTCTAAACTTGCCTCAATCTGGTGGTCCTTATTTGTAGCCTCAGTTTCCTCTTCCCAGCTGATACGAGACACCCGGTGTGGTCTTCCACTGCTGGAGTCCATCTGCTTCAAGGCTCAACATGCTGTGGTTCAAATATAATTTCCTGCAGACCTTGGTAAGAACCAGTGGTCATTTGAGCTACTTCCATTTTTGGTTCTTTTTTAAAACACAGAAAAAGTTTCTCTTTACCTTGCTGACAGTTTCATTTGCAGCTGCAAACTTCCTCAGAGCTGACGCTGATGGTGGCGTCACTTCCTACTCTGTTTATCCGCAGGCAGCAGAGGATGTTGTCACCCTCTGCTGCCCACTCTCCCCTCTCCGATGATGCAGTCCCATGTGCGATTCAATGTGTAGACCCCATCGTCTCTGTCCATAGTCCCACATCCACGTCTCCTTATCTCTATAGCTTCCTTTATCCATCTTTTGTATTTCTGTTGTTCGGTGTTTATAATCCGTGTGTTGTCCCAGTCCATTACATGGTTTTCTCGTGTGCAGTGATCTGTTACAGCTGACTTCTTTATTGTGCTTTCTGCTTCTTGTTTTGCTGCTCTTGTGTGTCTTCGACTTGTTTCTTTCTCGCACTCCTTTCTATGTTCTGTTGTTTGTGTGTTGAGTTGGTGTCCGGTTTCTCCTATGTATGTTTTATTGCAGAGTTTGCACAGGATTTCGTAAATGACTCCACATTTAAGTCCAGCTGGTATCTTGTCTTTTGGGTGTACTAGTCTGTTTCTAACTGTTGTGTATGGTTTTGTTGGTGTGCTTATAATGTGTTTTTTTATTGTTGCTCTTATTTTTTCTGTTATGCCTTTGATGTATGGTAGGGTTATCACTGGTTTTTGCTCTTGTCTTTCAGGGTTTCTGGTTCTTTGCTTTGGTTGTTCTTTCTGTTGTTGTTTGTTGTTTTCCTTTGTTTATTGCCCTTGTCGGGTATCCGCAGGTCTTTAAAACGTGTTGTATGTGTTTGTCCTTCATCCTCAGAGCTGACGCTGATTGTGGCGTCACTTCCTACTCCGTTTATCTGCGGGCAGCAGAGGAAATCAGCAAAATCATCAGCCCGTTATTAGGTAACACAGATCAACACTGCAAAAATAGCATAGAACTGGCAAAAGAACTAAAGGAGATTACAATAGAAGACAACGACATACTCATCTCACATGATGTCACATCGCTGTTCACAAAAACACCAACCCAAAAAAGCATAGACATAGTAGTTAACAAAATCAGACAGGGCAAGACTTTACACAAAAGAACAAACCTCACAGCAGACGACATAGCACAACTAATAGGACTAGTAGCTAACTCCACTTACCTCACATACAATAATACAATATACAAACAGCTGGAGGGCATTATCAGCCACCCTGTGCGAGTTTTTCATGGAAGATCTAGAACAAAATGCCATAGCCACTGTCCCCCCAAACTGCAAAATAAAATTATGGAAACGCTACGTAGATGACATACTGGAAATCATACCAAAAGGACAAACAGAAACACTAAAACAACACTTGAATAACATTGACGACACAGGCAACATAAAGTTCACTTATGAGTCAGAAACAGAAGGCAGCATAGCATTTATGGACATGAAAATAACCAGGCAGACCGACGGGACCCTAAACATAAACACATACAGGAAACCAACACACCTAGACCAATATTTACTATGGGCATCAGAACACCCTACCATACACAGAATGTCAGTAATCAGAACATTATACTTTTTTTTCCTAAAGTTTATTTTCAATTATTCACAATTAAAAACAAAACAAAAAACAGGTTTGCAAAAACAAAAAATGAAAAAGTAACAGAAAGAAGCAACACTTATGTTATCTGTTCCCAGGCGCGCAGATAGGGTGGGGGACGGGGGGGGGGGGGAATCTGCCCCCCCCCCCCAGATTCAGATTGACCCCGATCCGTCCCCCCCCCCCAACTAAGGCCAGAAAGCA